TTAAATTTTGAAACTAACTGTGTTTCAACATAGAACTTTGCACAGGAGTGCAGCAGTTCGACTTGACACATTCCATGTGGTACACAAAACAGAGCAGAAAAAGAATTCCGGGGTACTATAATAAGCGGAAATGTGGAGGAGAAACAAAAGTAACATGGAAAAACTTGGCAGCTTAATGGAGATATGGGCGATCACACAGACTGAATGTGTCTGAGCCACTGAAAACGATTTCCAGCCATGTCACTGAAAGTCTTCAGCCACTGGCTCTTAGAATCCCAAGGACAGTCCCCTACTCCAGACAATCTAAACCCTACTTGACTGGCTGAAATCAACTGTCAGTGATTTCATAGATTCATATGAAGCATTGTTTTAATCACTCATAACTCTATTTCAACCTAATCCTAAGTCGGCTAACATTACCCATCGAGGAAAGCGATGTCCTAGTCATCTCAATCGACTCACCTTCACAGTGTCACCGATTGACTTGCCATCTTTATCTAAAAGTCCGCCCTTAACCTCGATGCTAACCAACATAATATACCACTTACCAGCTAGCCTTTTCATATCCTCCCCTTTCAGTGTCTCACAGCTATAGGGAAGGACGGAGCGAACTCCTACACAGTAAGTACACATTTCCCCCTATTGAGAACTGGATATTATTATTGTTCCCTTGGGTTCCTAGTGGAACATAGGGCTTCAACTACACATCTCCACTTGCTTCTGTCTTCTGCTTTACTTTTCACCTGCATCCATGTTAGTCCATACTGTTTCAACTCTTCTTCACACGATCGCCTCCATGTCACCCTTGGACGTCCCACTCGCCGCTTCCCTTTCGGGTTCCACTCGAGCATTGGCCTGACGCGCGATGTCACCCAACGGCTTCCTCAGCGAGTGTCCAATCCATCTCCACTTCCTCCTGCATATTTGTTGGGCGATTGATTCTTGTTCTGTTTGTTCCCATAGTTTCATGTTGGTGATTCTTTCCGGCCATCTGATCTTCAGTATAAAACGAAGACAGTTGTTGATAAAGGTTTGTAACAGGCTGTTGGAAATATTCTTTGTGACCCACCAAGTTTCTGATCCGTATAGAAGAAGTGACTGACTTGACGTTTGTATTGGAAATCCGAATTTTGTTGTTGATGCTGAGCGACGAAAATTTCCAGATTGGTTTCAGGTTGATGAATGTGTTTCTCGCCTTCCCGATTTGACATCCCCGTCCGTTCCATGTGCCTGTAGTTGAGACAATGCTCCCTACCTAGATAAGTGAAAGAAGTAAGCTCTTTCATACTCCTTCCGTTGATGGTGATTGGCGCTGGATGTTGCTGTTTTTGTTTGGTTATTTTCATAACCTCTGTCTTGTCTATGTTCACCTGGAGTCCTGTCTTCTCTGGCTGCTTCTTCGACCAGTTTGTCGGTTTTCGCTTGTAAGTCTTCGATTTTGTGTGACATCAAACATAAATCATCCGCGAAACCCAAGTCTTCCAGGTTCTTCATGTCGGTCCAGGATATCCCTGTCGTCTCGTTTCCCACAGTCTGACGCATAATCCAGTCTATCACAATTAGGAATATCATTGGTGATAATAAGCACTCTTGTCTGACTCCTGTGTTTACTCCAAACACCTCTCTGAGTTTTCCGTTGTGTATCACTTGACATGTGCCGTTGTCTTACAGCTGGATATTAAGCTATACTAAAGATAGCTTATGGTGGCTAGTGCTACACGAGCCTTCTGTATCCGTTACGACATCTCGTCAGCAATCAGCCGAAAGGGGCTGATGCAACTTTCCAGATATGCGAAGTGAATAACACGCTCTACTACACTTCACTCCCTATCTTTGAGCTAGGAGTCCGTGCAGTCCAGTCCTGCAGCATCATCCTTCACCTGACAGGAGCGAATCTCATGCCAAGCATTTTAAGATTTCTACTCAAGGTGTTCATGAGACTCTGGAGTTTATCAGCGTCTTCACATCGGGGGGCAATATCATCCGCATACTCTAAGTCGGCGAGGCAGTTCCATGGTAATAAGTTGATAAAGTCAAATAACGTTATTCCATTAGTACATCGATGATAAAGTTAAACTGAAATGGGGACAGTAGACATTTGTGTTGGGCACCACTTCAGATGACAACTCTCCGGGTGCTCTTACACTGCTTCATGATTAGTGCAATATAGTTTCTCGGTAATCCCTTCACAACCATACATTGCTACAGCACCTCCCGGTCGATAGGGTGGAATGCCACCTTCAGGTTAAGATGTATGGCATTCAAACACGAGGGAATTACAAAGGGTGCGAGACTTGTATACTTCCCAGCATAAAAAATACATTAACGTACAAGACAATATTTAATGACAACAATATGTAAAGGTAGATTTCATGTTTTAGCAACTAAATTAAGTGTTCCTTTCAACTTCATTGAACGTTACAGACTCAGTTCTCACATCTTTGTAAGAGTTAGTCAGATATAGCGTACAGAAAACAGTGATGATAACGCGGCGTGAATACACACCAGTTAAAGTGGTCAGATGACGATATATTAAAAATGTCCAGCTAGCATCTGTTATGGAGCTCAGTGTCTGTTAAAGTTGAATTACACTGGAAAAACTGACTAAAATAAGACATTAGGACAATCTATGAACACTGTAGCTACTCGTTTTGGTTATGACGACCATATAGGTGCTTGAGATGGCTTTAAAACAAAACACATTTCGAAATGTTAGAGACACATATGCTTGGCGAAGTAACTGAAAATGTCACTAACTAGTTAGTCATGAAATAGAGAAGTGATGCATTCTGGAGTAATGTTGATGACCTGATAGGGTCAAGGGTTGGTAGACTTCTTGTCGAAATGCTGTCATACGGCCACTCCTCAACAGTCTCTGCCTGATAAGTCCTGTTCGCTCCCCTCACAAAAGTGAAACGGCGTGTGCGAACGTCTGGCACTTACAGCCGGAGTGATGGACATGCTGGTCCACATAAGGGGGCTGACAATCCCAGATTCCAAACCTATGGTGTACCTTGAGGTCCGAAATCCGAACGGCGTATGAACCTGATTTGGTTACCGGAAACCATGAGAACATAGCTCCTGACACTGCTTTGTGGGTTAGACTTCAAGTCAGAGGCTCGGGAGAGGGACGCCTCCTGAGACAACCACCTGTTCCGGTCTGGGTGGTGCTATCCCAGCCCTCGCATGAGATTCTGTGTGGTGCACCTCTTGGTGCCCATAATGTATCAAGTTTATGTTTTAATAAGTAATAAATATTGACGCGAATCAATTCAAGACGAAGATCAAACAAAACCAGACGGTGTGAATGAATCAATTCCACAGAGTGGACTACGACATCTACGATGAATGATCGAGATTTAAGTCCTTCAGAGAAAAAAATGAATTTCAACATGACAACAAATATGTTCCACAGCTTATAGGAAATACTCATGAAATCAAAATCCAGGGCAATTAGTGGTGGATCAGTTTGTTCAACAATATAAATTCATTATTGTTTAACTTTCGCACTTCTGTTGCCTTCCGTGACTCAACTTTCAGTATAATTATGAATTTTATGGTCGATTATGTCCCTTGGTTGTGAAACAACCAACAGTATTCATAATTAGTCACCGACTTCTACAATTCAAAATAATTTGTGATGACTTGGCTAGAAAGGTTTTCAAGAAATACACGGATTAGAGGAAGTTGGGCTAAAAGATTATCGCCTGGTTTTCTGACTGAATTTCAACGTGGAACTTAGCACACCAGCGCAGTAGTTCAACTTGCCACGCTGTGGTATATAGTAGACAAAGGGTAGAGAGAGAGAGAACTATACTGAGCAGAAGTATTTGAGAGAAAGAATATTAACATGGAGAACCAAGTGAATCTAATAGATCTGAGTGAGAAATTCTAAAAATAGGAATGTATTTGCTGCATTGAGAACGCTATATCACCAACAGTCTTTTTCGCTCTCTCTCATCAGTTTTTATCATCCCTTGGACGCAAACTAGACAGTCTACACCTCCCTACGTGACTGGCTCAAGCCAATAACTGTCTGGATTCAGACCAGTATTTGGTTCGCTGTCTGGATTCAACATAGAACTTGGCACCCAAGTGCAGCAGTTCCAGTTGCCACGTTCCAAATAGCACAAACGTAGACAAGAAGATGAGTGAAGAGAATCAATAGAGTTTTGACAAGTATAAGAGTGAAACAGAATAAGTAATGCTAGAAAGGAATATGAAAGATTACAGAGACTGTGAATATATCTGCGCCATTGATTCTTAGAGTCCCGAGGGCCCCAACCCGGAAGTCTGCATCTTCCTACCTGACTCAGTTTAACTGTCAAGGATTTCATGGATTGATGCCATGTTTTTGTTTGGCCACCGCTTACTCTTTTCCAGCCTGCACCTATATCAGCTAGTAATGCCCGTCCGTCGGGGGAGGCGATGGTTAGGCATGCGCAGCACGTCACCTAGCCATCTCAATCTATGTAACTTTATAGCCTCTTCGATTGATTTTCCCTCTTTATCCAATACTCTATGCCTAATGTCAACATTACTTACCTTATTATGCCACCTAACGTGAGAAAGAGATCGTAGACATCTATGATCAAAAACAGTCAACCTTTTCATGTCTTCAACTCGTATTGGCCATGTTTCAGAGCCATAGAGAAGGACGAAGCGAACTGTTGAGCAATACACACGTCCCTTGGTTGATAGTCGGATGTTACGCCTACGCCAGAGATGGTGTAAGTTAGTAAGTAAGTAAGTCGAAGACTGAATGCAAGGTTTTGATTTGATCACACTCCTAAAACTCTATTTTAATTTTAATCCATTCTGCATTACTTGTCGAGGAAGTCAACGGTTCGAGATGTGTAACGCGTGTCCTAACCGTCTAAGATCGATATAGCTTTAAAACCCCATCCAATGACTTACCCTCCTCCTCACACATAGACTACAAGTCTACGCCTAACCCATCCAATTAGCACAGGAGGACATGAGAAGGTGAACACAATGTAGGCGGTTTTATTGATATACAATTATTATCTTACGGATGTATTTAAAATAGAATAAAGGAAACAAACTTGTTACAAATGTGTATATAGTATATTATTATTATTATTATTGGAGCAATAATAATATAAGGATAAAAAGTGGTTTAATACAAAATGGGAAGAAAAAAATATAATGCATTTCCGATGGAAATATACAAGGGAAAGAAGTAAAACGCACACACACAATGAGTGTAGGTCAAATGTTTCTTTCTTTAAACAAGAATATGTTTTTTTCCTTTATTGCTTCCATCCCACTACACTTTACTTACTTTGCACCCATCCTCGGTTCAGTTCATTCACGTACTTCCACCTGGAATTTATACTCTTGATCACAACCCATATATGCATCGGACATGAAAAACAGTGTGAATTCATGACGACCAGCATGACTAGGCGCATTCAAGTCTAGACGAACTTTCATTGACTGTGAAACAAACAGACGTTTTATTGCAACTAGAGAGTTGGTCTTTTGTTCACCGACTACTAACCACCAACCTTCTTCACGAGGCTATATAAGAGAGTAAAAAACCAAAAAAAATAACAAGCTAGCAAGAATATTTAACAAATTTGTAGTATATAATATGCTTCACATTAAATACCCATGGAAAACTACAGACTTTATTTTTCAAGGGTCAGTTTGTAGGGATTTGATTTGTTTCAAGTGTGACATCAATTAGAGAACCACTGAAAACCACCACTACCAGCGAATACTGGGCAGTTGTTTCGTCCTAATTTAGGACTAATTTGCAGTACTCATGCACCAGGTTTCGGACCCAGGACAAGGCGAACTCATAGACTTTTCAGCCACTGAAACCCGACACAATTGTAACGCGACCGCCAGCCAGTGCCAGCACTGGTGAGTATTTGTCTTCATTCTCGACGGGGTGGATTCCCTATTGGTCACGACTTCTAACACTAAAACTTCAGGTGACGTCATACTGCAACCAGTTAGGGAACCACTAGAAAGCCAGCGCAGACAAATGGACGGCTGTTCAGTCTTAATTTGGGACTAATCAGCTGTGCCACACCACCCATCGGGGTTCGAACCCAGGACTTCCAGACTAGAAGGTAAACACGCTCGTAGACCATTCCGCCATTGGGACCCAAAGTTTATGGTATGTGTGACAAAAGGTAATCGTAAAATAACTACAATTATCTGCATTTGTATGAACTGGACAATAAGCCTGACACTAACTGTATGAAGACTGATTGATCAAATCTAGAAAGGAGGATTAAGGTTCGGATCCATGCAGCAGTCGAGTACCAACACAATAGAATTTTATTAGATATAATAAATCACAAGGAGTAAATGCATCTGTGCCAGCCACTGTGAACGATTTCTAGCCATATCACTAATTGTCTCCAGCCTTCATTGGTTCTCACCATCTCGAGGACACCACAACCAGACAGCAGAGTCTGCACCTCCCTATGTGGCTTAAACTTCTATACAGTTGGCAATGAGTCACACCGACTAAATGAGGGTTAATGATTATAATACCGAGATTCTAGACCAATGAACCCCACAGTCCGGATACATAAGATATTACAATCTCATATATGCAGTGAAATAATTTGTAGACAAACAAAGTAATAAATAACTTCACAGAAGGGTAGCAGTTTAAGGTACATTAAAACAATATAGGCAGAATTCTTACTTGAGAGAAGAACGGTGCTATTACTGGACCCACGTTATCTTCTTCACGTTCTAAACTGACTTGTACAGTTAAAGTTTCACCGCTTTGTAAAAAAGAATAATTATTAACCAGCAGATTTCAACGACCAAAGAAATACAAAAGTATAATGGAGAAGATTTATAGCTCAAGTGGATAATTTCGGTGCAGTCGTATTCTCTGAGTTGGATCATTTACTTGCGAAGCTTTCCATCGCCTAACTAGGCAACACATCCTTAACGCATACTTCAATTGGTAGTGAACTTTTAAACTGATTAGTCATCTCTCCTGATAACCTTGATCGTCATTGGTTGTTTTTCTGTGTTTTTTCTCACCCTTCAAGTTCACATTTGTATAGGTAACGAGAGTTCGTTTCCTTGACCTGAAATTTTACCTTAAGTTGATGTGATTTCACAACTAAACTGTCCAGGTCAGAGAACATAACTACACCAAAAAAAGACAAAAATGGCTGTGATAGTTGGTACATACACACAATAAATACCAATTATTTACATTTATAATAATTATTGTTCCCTAGGGTTCCGAGTGGACGGAACATAAAGTTTCAACGGTTAATCTCCACTTCATCCTGTTCTCTACAGTCTACAGTTATCCAACAGTGCTCCCATCTTCTCCTCATACGACCTGCTCCACGTCACTTACTCTCGGACGCCCAATTTGTCATTTCCCAGTCGGGTCCCACCATTCAAGGTTATGTCTGGAGCGTGAAGTTACTCAATAGATCTCCTCAGAAATTATTCAATGAAACTAAGTACGACAATTAGAACCAACAATGTAGATTCCCCTACGAACTAACATTGTTCAGAGAATCATTGTAAACCAGGGAGCACTGGGCAACTCTTCAGCATTGTACATTCATAACTTCATCATCAGACATCGAACTCAGAACCTTCAGCTTACGACGCTAACCCGTTCATGTCTCAGACACTACGCATGAATCTAACGACTCAACATCTGTCATTTCGCCAAATAGTACTACCACCAACCAATGAACATTTGCTTCGCACCCCCAACGCTTACCACTTTTCATCATTAATACATCAGGATATCTATCCTACAGTCGGTAATAAGTTGAAGGTTGAGTATTCAGATTTTTCGTTTTCTAGGGATTTCAAGAAATCAGCCGACGGACTGTTAAGCCTGGCTAAGTCGGTAGAAAGCCTGGGTATAGAGGAAAGGTTGAGCATGAGGCGGCTAGCAACCTTCCTCCCCCCACCTCCAATCTCGTTGTAAAACCAACACCAGTGCTACTGAAACTTCAAAGCTCTAGATCTTGAAGCCCTATGTCCCATTGGGAACTTTCAAAGGAGTAAAATTTCAAAAAAATATTGATTTTGAAGGAAAAAAAATATATAAAGATATTATACCTTCGAACAGGTGCTTTAGTTGCATTATTTCCATTGCTAGCGACAACTTCATAAGTGATTTCAATATTTGGATAACGATTACAAAATCTAGCTACATCAGCCATTTGTGCTTGTGTTAATCCTTCCAATACTTGATTACGTTCATCATCTTCAAGTTCAATAATATCGAAAACAGTTTCAATTTTATTCTCTTTACACTGATTTATACGTTCAGCAGTGAAATGTGGTATTTGACGTAGATAGGAATCTTTATGCCATACAGCTTGTGTACACATTTGTGATAATTCCATAGCGGCTAAAGCTGGACCTAACCAACTATTACTCGACAATACATCTACACAGGCCTAATAGAAATGAAAATAATTCACAAATGATATCATGAGTAAATAAATAACATATAAAAATAATAGTAATTGTAATGTGTTATTAATATGGTAGTTGACTTTGAGACTTAATGAAAACTGCATTTGTTTGTTGTTTGAACTCAGTTCTCGAAACAAGCTTCTCATGCTCCAGGTTATGAGCCACACTTCTTACCTCAAGACTGGTGACACTAGCTAGTTGTTCAGAATGAGGTATGCAGTGAGGTTCGAACCACCTTGGCGTCATTGAATAAAGGTCGAGTGATTAAATTATAAATGAGCCACATTTCCAGTTTAAATGAGAACATCAGCAGCGCCCACTGGGGATGTGTAAGTCTCACTCAAAATGAGATGCATGTTATGCACATCACTTCTAGTTATTACTCAACAAGTAACAACCAGTGATGAGGCCTCGAAATCCAATTTTTGATAAGCGTAACAAGGATAGAGTCTGTATTACACCAGAAAAAGTGAAAGTTGAATCACTGAACTGACGAATCGTGACTTCACGAACCTCAAGTCATAATTCTAACTGTACAAAAATGAATTGAATTGTGTCTAAGATCACTTTCTGAATAAGTGATCACACATATATATATATGCTAGAAATAAATTTTCTGATTATGGGATTTGTGAGGATAATATCAGTTTGAGATCATTAAGAAAGCAAGGAGTACTGGACAACTGTTTCGTCTTAGTTTTGGACTCTTCACCAGTGCACGCGCACAATCCCACGTGTGGATGTCGAACCTGGGACGTTTAGGTTAAGAGATCGCGATCGTTTACCATTCCAACCACTTGGTCTGGGATTTTAATGACCTTCAAATTCTAACCTCAACCAAAACACCGTCAATGAGCATCCACTACACCTTGACATGATGGAATACACAGGCGATGACTTTTCACACTACAGTTTTAGGAAATCTATCTAGTAGCCATCAGTGAGCCGGAGACTGATAGTTAGATTATGGGATTTGTGGGGATTTGGATCGATTTAATCTGAATTGTTAGATTTCGTCTCAAGTAAACCATCTTCAATGAATCAATGTTACATTCGTTGCTTCCATCCGGTATTTGAAGTTTATAAGCAAATCAGACAGTAAGAAGTTGCCTTACGAAAGCACTGCTGTTTTTATTCCTTTACATTCCCAGTGGAACACAGGTCTTCAAGCTAGAGGACTGAATTTTCGGTAGCGGTGACCTTTATTTTTACCGGATGAGGTTTCTATAACATCATGCCAAACCTTCCCTCTTATTATTGGCTTAGCGAGGTAGAGGAGTACGTTGGCCAGGGATCGAACTCCGGACCGTGTGCGTAGTCAGCGTGCATTCTACCGCTGCGCCACCGACGCATGAAAGCACTGTGTTGTTGTATTATGAATACGTTCTTCAAAACAATGACTAATCAGCTAAGTTTGAACTAATTCACCTCACTCAGTGGTAGATTTCGCAATGATCTAACGAGATGGGACGGATGTTGCTGAAGATTCTACCAGTTATGCTATGTCTCTTTTTTGGGGTCAGAAGGTTAAAAATCCCAATATCAAAGAGATTTTACATCCCGATAACTCCTGGTGGTGAGCAAGTCACAATATGGATACAAAACTGTAAATGTCACTGCGAAATTGCCATGTGGGTGTGTGTGATATGCACCTTACAGTTGTCTTCTGGTTCATGCGGTCGGTCACACTCACCACTGATACTCGTTATATTTCAGTCAATTTAATCTCCATACTGTCCGAATGGGATATAATACAACAGCTAAAACTGTAATTTGTTGAAATAAACAAAACTATTGTTCAAGAATTATAGATGAAAACATCTGAAGTAATGTGATATACGGTCGGTCGGTTTTCGACATAGAACTTTGCACATATGTGCGCCAGTTCAAGTCACCACATTCCCTCCATGTAGCACACAAAGCAAGAGAAGAAAGTGGAAGAACTGCATAATATAGACAGTAAACAGAGGTGTGAGACAAAGGAATAGTAATAACGAAGAACAAAACAGTTTCATTGGAAATTATAAGTCACAAGGAGTGGATGCATCTGCGCCAGCCATTAAGAACGATTTTGAGCCCTACCACCGATTGTCTCCAGCCATTGGTTTTTATCGTCCCGAGGACCCCAACCAGGGAGTCTACACCTTCCTACGTGGCTTAGACTGACTGTTGTGGATTACATTGACTGGTGCCATGTTTTCGTTTGACCGCCGCTAGCTCTTTTCCAGCCTGGCCCTATATCAGCTAACATTGCCCGTCGAGGAAGGCGATGACTAGGCATACGTAATACATGTCCTAACCATCTCAGTCGATGTAATTTCACAGTCTCGTCGATTGATTTCCCCGCCTTACCTAGCACTCGACGCCTAACCTCAGTATAGCTCACCTTATCATACCACTTCACGCGGGAGATAGAACGCAGACACCTATGATCGAACACAGCTAATCTTTTCATGTCTTCTGCTCTCAATGGCCAGGTCTCACAGCCATAAAGGAGGACGGAGCGGACTGTTGAGCAGCAGTGAAGAGGAGATGAAAACGTGTGGGCAGACTTGGAGCCAGGTGAAGACTCTAGCAGAGAACGGAACGCAATGGAGATGCACGGCTGAAACCCTATATTTCTCTAGGAATTAAAGGAAACAATAATAATAATAACATAATAAGTGTTCAAATTTCATGTGCTAACTTTTGAAGACTTATGACGCCACACAACGACTTAGACCAAAGTAGGCGAAAACAGATTTGCATCTCATACCCACTGACAACCGATGAGCCATATCACAGACACAATGTCTAAGAAAAAACCGGTAGGATATGCAACCATACGTCAAAGCTAAATGTGACAGTTATGCTTGCCTACACTAAAAATAATTGCAAGTGACATAAACACAGGAAAGGGGTTGTGGAACTTACTTGAATTAAACGTATAGTACAGCCCAATAAACGATCTGTATCTGTTTGCATTTCAGTTGGTAGCTGTAATCGTGATAAATGAGCTTGCAGTAGTAAATTCGCTTTAACATGTGGACTTGAAAATTTAGCTTTAGGTGCTAATTTCTGTGGAACTTTTGCAGCCAATTGACGCAATAGTATATCTTCATGATGTCTTACAGGTAGTAGAACATCAAATTCTGAGGCATTACTTATAACATCTAATAATCCACGAATTTTCATTTTAGCTGTTAACGATAAACTGAACAATTCTGAAAGAGAGATTTTTAGAAAAAAGAGAGAAATTATTCGAGATATATTACGTAAACAGAATGATATTTTTAGAAAGTTAAATCTGCGAACGAAAGAATCTACAATTAGGTGTTGTTTAATAAAAAAAGTTTACATGCAACTCTGAAATATCCCATTTTGAGTGTAACCAATTGACTCAAGTTTGAACAAGAGCTGACGCCAGTTAGAAAATAATTGGAAGACCAAGGAGAACGAGACAACTGTTTCGTCCTATTTAGAAACCCTTCATGAGTACGCACACCCACCAAGGTTCAAAATCAAAACCTTCTTCTGGTTACAAGGCACGCTCGCAGACTATTAATCCACTGTGACCCGATTCAATGGCAGGCTCATGAATTCTAACTTCAAACAACTCGTGGTTTCAGTGCGACCACCAGTCAATGTCATCGGTGAGTATCTTGTTCTCAAGGCCGACATGATGGACCCCACTGTTCATGACTTTGGCCTAGAACACTCTAGGTAACTTTATCCCATTTCTGCTTACCAGCAGACCAGTTGTCTCTGGTTCTCCAACTGATGCTAGCTCATGATCAAAATTCAAACAAATCAAATCTCTACAAAGTAACTCTTGAAAGATAACCCATTAAGTTTAGTTGTCAAGTATTGGTTTTGTAGGGATTAAGTTTGACTGGTTGTTAGGTTTCATCATGAGCTGATATCAGTTAGAGAACCATTGGAAAACCTCAGAGTACTGGACAGCTGTTTCATCCTAGTTTGGGACTCTTCGCCGGTACGCACCCACCACCAGGTTTCGAACCCAGGACCTTCTGGTTACAAGGCGAGCTCGTAGACCATTAGGCCACTGGGACCCAATTCAATGGCCCATGAATTCTAACTTCTGCCAATTCACGACATAGCGCGACCACTTCGTAATGCCAACTTCGATGAGTTGCTGCCTTACCTCCAACCTCCTTACCACTACTGATTACGGCTCACCACCAGAATCCCAGATTAACTGCCTAAATGCAGTGACATAGCGTGACCACTTCTAGTGGGAAGCCGTAACCAGTAGTGTACAGCAGGTTGAAGGTGAGGCAGTAACTCATCGAAGAAGACATTGCGAACAGGTCGCACTTTGTCATGAATTGGCAGAAGTTAGGATTCATGAACTAGCCATTGGATCGGGTCCCAATGGGTAAATGGTCTACGAGCTTGCCTTGTAACCAGAAGGTCCTGGGTTCGTACCGATGAAGAGTCCCAAACTCGAACGAAACAGCTGTCCAGTACTCGCAGTTGGTTTTCCAATGGTTCTCTAACTAATATCAGCTCATGATGAAGGCTTCCAACCATTGAGTTTAGTTGGACAGGTATCAGAAGAAAATCCATGAACTATAAAACAAATTCAAATAGTGTCCTATACGTTGAGATTATCTGAGACAGTCTTGGATTAGTAGACTATTAACTAACGATAAAGTGAAAATCGATACCCCAACAGAATTCCAAGAAGTGGTTCAGACGTCACTACTCTTGCGCCCTGCTAGCTGAATTACGACACTCAACTTGCTAAGTAATGGCGTTTGTAACTCAACTGGCAGAGACAGAGAGAGAGAGAGTCGGGCCTAGTAAATCAGTCGTCACTGGCCCGATCCAGAGATTTTCATTTCATCCTTCAATACATCACCCACTACATTTTCTTACACGTTGAGATACTTGAGAAGTCATTCTGAATAAGTTTCATATAGAAACAACCTCGTTAAAAAATTCACAGATCAACTACAAAAATATTAAAAGTTGCATTCCGAAGTGAACATGACGAGTAAGCTCTGGAGTAAGCTCTATAAGGCACACTGACAGACAAATAAATAAAAATAACTATTAGGGTTATGCAAAATACTTACCAATAGTATTGTACTGAATATAATAGTAGGCTGATATCATACCAAGATTTAATGGTGATAAATCAATACCATCCTCTACAGCTATACACTTCGATGTTTCCAAGTCATTTAGAGTTGTTTCAACTAGTTCGCTTAAATGATCACTCAAATGACGATGTGTTACACCCTAAAATAAAGTGTAAAGTAGAATCATGAGAAAAGAAAGAAAAAAAACAAAATTGGTATTAATGAATAAAATAAAAGAATAGTAGTACATTCCCCTTGACCGGATAAAATTGTTTATTTCGCTGAATACCACCAGCTATTTTGTAAAAAGGGAGACTTCGCGGGAGTCGCTCTATTAGACAATTTGGATTACTCTTTCACCATCGATATTCACACACTTCGCAAACGCTACGGTCCTCGATTCACACCAGAGATTTACACAGTTTCAACCTTTACAGGTATAGTTTACCATCTTGCTCTATCCTTTTAAAAAGGTGCACAAAGTACAAGGCTGCATGTTCACGCCACGGAATGGACCAGTAATGCGCCTACTGCTCACCATCTTGGAATTTAGAAGCACCTTAGTCCATAGAAGCCAAACTTTTACTTTCACTAACGTCTTTGGGTTTGTTTAGTAACGTCTAATGACTGGGGTGTTATTTATATCACTTCAGTATTACAAACTTCTATTTATTATACTATTATTCCTTTGGTTTCTGAGTGGAGCATAGAGCTTCAATAACACATCTCCACTTTGTGTCCTCTTCAGCTGCATCCAGGATTGCCCATAATCTCTGATCTCCTCTTCGCACGATCTCCTCCATGTCACCCTCTAGGACGACCCACTCGTCGTTTCCCATTCGGATTCCTCTCGAGGGCCTGGCGTTCGACTGCCTCCTCAACTTTTATCCACCATTTATTCAGTAGAGTCGTTACTGACTAAATATACACTACGACTACTTCTCCAAGGAAAATATCTTCCCCTAGTAGCACAGTAAAACTGAACAAATAATTACTAACAGAGTGATTAGATTATAACTTGTCATATATATCGTAACTCTAACCCTTCGGTAACACGTAATCTGGCTGTCGTTTTCAGTGCACACAGAGTGAAGAGGAAGTGAAGCGCCATCAAGTAGAGGAATTGCATTAGCAGAAGGAAGGCAAGATAATAGAGATGAAGATGAAGACAAAGATGAGTGAGGATTAGAGAGGTTTCGCGTGTACTTCGGATTGTGAGGGCGATTGTTACTTCCCGGCTGCCCACACCGTGGAAGTTGGTTGCGTGACCGCAGAGCCCAGGGGACAACTGCTTGAGGCCGATCACACACGGCCTGTTTTTGTTTGTTCTTTTTCATTTGGTGTGTCTCAGTAGCACATTTATCACTTGTGCCCTGTGACACGGCAGCAGGAAGCGCGGTCGTTGTTAATCCGGGCCCCGACCGATCCGGCATGATATTTTGTGATTTACTTTGAGTCATAGCATTGGGTTGGGTAACTGCTCTTTGTCTAACCACTATCCAAACAATCTTTCTGGCATAGCAGGACCTCAAGCGACATAAGTCTCAGCCAGTATAGCTTGTTGGGTCATTGGGGTGTTCAAGCCCGACCACCACGTCAAGGTAGCAGCTTTCGGTCAGTTTTCCATCGCGAACAGCTTAACTAACTACCACTTAGGAAAGCTGTTTAGGCTGTTAAAGTGGTTAGTAATACTAACATCAACAACAACAACAACAACAAATTAGTCAAACATGTCGACAGTGAACAACCTTATGCGAACAAGTTTATCACAGTTCAATTAGCAACACATATATCTCTTAACAACACAGAGAAAAACTAAATGTACACAAAAAGAATGGCGTTAAATAAATAGATCCAACTCCCTCCCCCCCTAAAAAAAACAATTATGTGAAAATGGAAAAATTCCAAAGTCTACTATTCCATAACATTATTTTACTTGCAACGGTTAGACAGTTTAAACAAGCAAACTACTGTGTCCTGTTATTTTGGTAATTTCTGAATATATATATATATATATATATATATATATATATATATATATAAGAATTAGAAGGTCAACCTAACAAGTTTTTCAAAAACAAAATTGCAAAATAGTCAACACGATATGATTTGTTAGTATTTTTGTCAACCATAAAGAATAGATACCACAGTCGGATGACCTTGAACCAACCAATCATGTGCTCCTATGTGAAAAGTGGTATTCATAGTAATAAAATAAATTAGGTATAGGGGATACAAGTATAACAAAGATGAATTATACAGGGTATATGTCTCAATTTTCCATAGGAGTGGCCACTGGAGACAAACCAGCATTTGTATGAATACCAGTTATAGGATCCATTAATTCTCATGAAAGACTGACACTATGATGAATATAACCAAATGATGATAGTCACATTGCCCAGTGTTTTAAGTCGATGCTTCCCATCGCTTCATTGTTTTAAGCCTCACCCTCACCTTAATCTTATTCCTAACGCTAACCCTGAATCACAATGAAACTTGCAACGAAGATTATGAAAAGATTCATTTGTAATGTTGAGCAATCTGATTGGTCGGGTCAAGGTCATTTGATTGTGACATATATTCTTCACTCTTCTTTTTCTATCTCTTTACTCTTTTTAAATGCATGTGTTGACAATGCCAGTGAACCGTCACCAAGATAATCTCAACCACTGGCTTAAATCACTCGAATTCCAACGAATTGGTGGTATCAGATTCGAATCTCAATTCATCTAATTCAATCTGGACAACTGACGGGTAGTATATCATGAGCCATCTGACGATAAGTGAGCTGATAGCTGGGTACTGGGTAACGTTTCTGATGCGGCGGCCGAAGCGTTAGCCATCAAAACCAGGGGGGGATTTGATCCGTGTATCTAGAAGAAATCATATACAGCATATTTGCCTACTTTGGTCTACAATATGGTTTATACTTTTCAATCCCTATTCCGTTCTTTCCTTCTCTTTCGTTGGTTTTCATTGACTAATGTTTATTTCAAACACTTTCGATTGAATAACCTTTTGGCATTAGTTATTTACCTTGTGTTTCACGTGGTACTATATAACATTTGTTATATACATTGAAATCTTTCCTACTTGATAAATGTTTACTAATGTTACACCACAGTAAACCGCATTATTATCATTTTTTATCACTATCGTTACTTGTGATCCTATTTGCTTGTTTGCCTGCTTTTGTAGTATTCACATTTTTCTCTCATACCACTGGGTATGGTGTTGTGTACATACAGTAACAATACACCACCCTCCCCCCTCACCTTGACACTTATGATTCTGTTAGTTGTAAATTCACAAACACATCGATCAATTAACCTTATTTCATATTTTTTCTATTTATGATTGCACATTTTATGTGCATATTCAAACAGAAATTACAACCAACAAACCGACCACTATCCCATCGCATACTTGTACTACCATAGCAGTCTTTTATATATGTTACTTAGTCGACGAGGGTTAGCAGTGGAATACAGGAAGCACGTGCTGACACCTATACGAGAGTCATTTTAGCTGGACAAACATGAGGCTTTCGATAAAAGTAATGGCATTTCTACAAAAAGAGATTCAAACTCAGTAGAAACGTTGTTTCAATCTTCCCAGAATTACTCATTAGCCCACTGGGGACCAAGAGAATCACCTCTCTCGCCAGTTGGGTATCAGTTGTTATTTGAGCCAAGGTAAACTTAAAGCACCGAAGGGGTGGGGGACAACACACCAATGACTGACTTTGCAACGCTCAGTTAGCAAGTTAGTGAAATCACGCAAATAAGAGCATATCGATGAATAAAATATGCTTAGTCGAATGTTATAATAGTAAACGGGATATATATGGTGAGTTTTAAGCTAGGTTTTGGGAAGACTTAGTTAAGTTTTAGGCTAATGACAGATTAGAGTTAGATTATAGCAAGTTTACGGATAGTTTCGTATGGGGTTTACGGATGGGATTAGAAGCCTTCGATGAATACATGTATAGAATGTGGTTTAATAAGTCTACAAAACACTCCAATGCGAAGCTATGAGGCATTTTTGTCACGCGTTAGAGAAAGGTATCCTGTGAAACAGTTTCATAGTGCTTCAATTACTATTTTCATAAATATATGTACGTTACACGCAAAACTCACCTTTTTCATGTGATTGGTGAGTCGCACGCCATTGGCGCCTAAAGTTTAACTTTGCCGGTTAATTGTTTAAGTTTTAAATCTTCTGTTGCCCGAGTTTAAATAGTTTCAACACTATAATATCAACCTTGAAAACATCGTAGCGTCCCTACTTTAGAAGCCAACATATCCACATAGACCCAGAGCAGTTAAAATCGATCAATGATAAACTGGAAGATATGCAAGCGAAAAGCAACAAGTTGGCAGAAGAAGCATCAAAGATAGCAAGGACTTCAGGTGAACTTAGAGAAAACAGAGGTAATGAAGATTCCTGGACAAGAACAACAACAACAGACAACGATCAGTATAAATGGGAAAGAAGCATAGTTTCAACTACAGGCGGAACTGACGAGGATATCAAAGCAAGATTCGGAAAAGCAAGACAAGCTTTCACTACTCTCAAGTCTGTGTGGAGGTCAACAGCACTCAGCATCAAAAATAAGATCCGGATTTTCAACTCCAATGTGAAGTCAGTGCTACTATACGGATCAGAGACTTGCACTGCGCGTCATAAAGATCATCTCAAACAAACTACAGACCTTCATCAACAGCTAGCTGTCTTCGCTCAATACTCAAGATCAGATGACCGGCCAGAAAAGATCAGCAACAGGGAGGGATCTCTGGGAGCGAACCAACCAGAAATCGATTGTGGAAGAAATGTGCAGGAAGAAATGGAGATGGATAAGCCGTACATACTCTGAGGAAACCATCAAGTGACATCACTAGACAAGCCCTTGAGTGGAAACAGAAAGGGAAGGTTGACTTGGAGGAGGTGATGTGAAGAGGAGATGAAAACAGGTGGGCAGACTTGGAGCCAGGTGAAGACCCTAGCATAGAACCGAACGCAATGGAGACGGACTGCTGAAGCCTTATGTTCCTTTAGGAATTAAAGGAAATAATAATAATAATAATAAAGTGCGGGTATGCCGCTAATGAGTTAAGAGAAAAACGAGGAAAAAGGCTAGGACTACTGGTTGGTCTGAGTAGTATTCAAGTACTCACATCCTTCTATCAGTAGTATATGGCGTGGTGAATTTTAATTTATCCTAACTGCTGGTTGTGTGCTAACACTAATGAACTTATTAATTTAGAGCTTGAAGAAGAACCATTATTATAGGGATATTCATCAAAATGTTCAAAAACGAGATAATATTAAAACTAACCTGTAAATTGTAATAATTTGGATTCTGTGTCATACGTTGATATAAAAAGGTCCAAGTTAAATAGTCAACAGCATCCTGTTTATTTTCAATAGTTTTTGTAACAACTTCAGCATTGAAATGATCGTGTAAAGCATGATCCAAGTGTGATTCCACTGGTAATGGATCATGTAGGAATTTTTTCAAGAATTCTTTTTTTCCTGTTTGACATAATACTACAGCTTTAGCTTCACTATCGATATTTGGTCGATTGGCATGACCTAATATCTCAATTAAATCAACTATTGGATAATCTTCATAGGCGTGAATCTTGCCATTGTAATCTTGAGTATCCATGACGATGACAAGATAGGCAGATAGGGGATTTGGTGATGCTGCTGCCCAAATCAGAGCACGTGAAACAACTAAAGTGTGCAATGCACCAGCAGCGAATAACACTTCAATTAATCGACGATCTGGTTTTGTTATAGCTTCATGTATATAAGCTATACCACCGCCGTGACGAATAACTTCAGCTAACGCTTTGTCTGTTAACTGGTCAGCAGCACGAGATAATGCTTCTTCCAGGTGGCCTGAAATAACTTGAAATTTAGATGAGGATATTGCATTGCTAGCGGTGAACATTGTGATTAAATCAAGTGCAGCTCTTTGTGCTTGACGTCGAGTAGGCACATAAACTAAAGTTGGCTTACGCTGAGTATGCTGTAAGCTACCAGTTGGACTTGGAATAATCGCTAATCGTGTTATTAATTGATAAACAGGTTTAGTCATTGCCAGTAGACGAGAGGCTTGATGTGGTATATTAAATGGCATTATAGTTAATTCTAGTGGTATTGGTCTTGTCGTAGGTGGAAAGTTGTATGTTGCACTAGATGAACAACCAAGCCAACTGGCAACATCACGACCATTTGTAAGACTGTGTGATAAGCCAATTATTCGGATTGGATTATCCACTTGACTACTGATATAACGCATTCTTGAGCAGACAACTTCAAGGATTGAACCACCTTCAGAACCAATTAAATGCAAGTTATCTGCGATAAATAAATTGACATTTTGTACATTTTTACGTTGTTTCCATCGTCTAGAAAGTACATCCCAGTGTTCTGGTGTAGTAACTACAATCTGTAATTAAGAAAAGACATAAGAGCATCTTCAAGCTAGGTAAATTATTATAGTAGAATTTTTACTGAGAGAACAAAAAATCCCCAAGTTAGTTTGTAAGGATTTCAAGTGACCTTACGGATTGATCTCAGTTAGAGAACAGTTGAAAAAACACAGAGCAGTTACAGACTTTTCAGTAATATGCACCTACGATCCCACAAGGGGTCGAACCCAAGACCTTCAGGTTACGAGATGAGCTTTTTGAACATTGTGCCACTGGCCCATGAAATCTAATTTTTATCGATTCGCGATTAGTAGTGTCACCGCCAACCAATCTTATCAGCGAGTATTTGTCCTCACATCCAACCTGGTGAATTCCTTCTAGTCACGATCTGTCACTAGAACCCTAAACAAATTCGTCAAGTAGCCAGTCCCGAGCTGGAACGAAACATCTGTTCAATACTCCCTGGTTTTAAATGGTTCTCTAACTGATATCAATCCTTGAATACACTTCAAAACAATAAAAGAAAATATTATTTTTCAGATTTTTGAGTAATAGTAATAATAAGGAACGTACATTTCCACGAGCTAATAGTTTCAAGTCGACTGATGTTTCACCTGTTAGTCGAACAACACGTTTGCCTAACTTCTCACCGAATCGACTAGCCCAGTCAATATAACGCTGTTCCACTTGTTCTTCATGCGGTGGTAAAACATAAATACACCGGAAGTTAGTGTTTGTACCAGCAGTGGAATCTGATTGATTGCCTGCACTACTAGCATGTGTAGTTATTAAACGGAATATTGCTAACTCAGCGCAAACAGTTTTACCACTGCCAGTTGGAGCTGCTATCAGAACATTTTCATCGGAATTGTATAGTGAATTAAAAACCTGTTTTGAAAAAAAACAAAGAAAAGAAAAGAAAACGGTAATGAAATACAAACAAAACATTTTTTCTAATTAGAAAATGCGTACAAATCTTCAGAGTGAAAAACAAATTATGACAACAGTAGGAAGTAATGACCCCAACATGAAACTAATACTGGGTGACACTTCACGTTGTGACACACTATAAATGAATCTTGACAAACAAATCTACGCAATCTAACAGGAGGAGGTGTATTTAATGAAGAGAATGAACAACCCAATATCGAATGATGCAATATAAATAAGCAAGAATAGTAAGAGAGGCTTTTTCTTCATATTCACATAAATCACAACTATTATTGCATTCAACAACCTTGTAGAAGCTAGAAGGTTTACTTTTACCCTTTGTAGTCTATGAGAAATGTTACAACTCCAAAAAGAAAAATGATATGCTTAGCAACCTCCGAGCCTTTCTATAAGATAAACTACGACAGGCTGGATAAAGCTGAATACTGACGAAATTATACAGGTCAAAAAGTGTTACTGCAAACTGCTTACAGTAATGTTCCTAGCGGAACATCAGATTTTGAGCTTTTTTTTAGGAGTTTCAGTAGTAGTGGGTTTGTTTCTACGGTGTGGGATTGTTATAACCTCTCAAGCTTAACATTTGCCTGCTTTTCTACATGGCCAAACAAAAACATGGCATCAATCAATCCATGAAATCCTTGACAGTTAAACTGAGTCAGATGCAGACTTCTGGGTTGGGGTCCTCAGGACTCTAAGAATCAATGGCTGGAGACAATAGGTGACATGGCTCAAAATCGTTGTCAATGGCTTACGCAGATGTATTCAGTCTCTGTAATCTTTCATATTCCTTTCTACCATTACTCATTCTGTTTCACACTTATACTTGTCAAAACTCTATTGATTCTCTTCGCTCATCTTCTTGTCTACCTTTGTATGCTATTTGGAACGTGGCAACTCGAACTGCTGCACTTTGGTGCCAAGTTCTATGCTGAATCAAGCCAGCCAGCCAGCTTTTCCACGCTACTACTACAACTACCACCTAGCAAACTAAATAATCGGGGTTTTGAAGTGCGATCGAAGTTTGATTAGTGACTGAAAGTTTTAAAAAATTTCACTTTAATGCCCTTTGTAAACCTTTATATAACACTTGATAACTAGGCATGAAGCAGATTAAACCTGGGATGAGTAAACAAACAAAAGGTTCGAGTTCCCACACTTCTATACACCACACAAAAGTGAGAAAAAAATATTCAAAAGAACGAAATGTCAGGGAGAACAGTGACGTAGAAAAACAATAGGGTTTAGTACATACAGTTGACCACAAAGAGTGAGTGCATCTGAGCTACCGAGGACGATTTTGAGCCATATAACCAATAGTCTACAGCCGTTGGTCCTTATAATCTTCAGCATCCTAACCAGCCTGGCAGTCTACACTTCTCTAGGTGGCTCAAACTAACTGTCAAATACTTCATGCAGTGATTCCACATTTCGGTTTGCCTACCACTAGCTAGCTCTTTTCCAACATGATTTTATGTCATCCAGCTAACATTGCTCCTCGAGAAAGGTGATGGCCAGGGCATGCATAACACACATCCTAGCCAACTCAGTCGATGTAGATTCACAAACTTATCGATTGACTCTCCCTCCTTACCTAACAATCGATGCCTAACCTCAGTATTACTCACTTTATTATAAAACCTAACACGACAGACAGAACTCAGACACCCATGAAATTAAGTCGTTGGTTTTAGACAACTAGAAGGACTGCTAAAGGTAAATATTAGACGACAGGCATATATTTGCTTCTTTAAGTGACGACACCTATGTACTTTATAACATGTCTTTCTATAGGTACTTTGTTTTCATTATTCAATACTCTTGTTTCTTGTGTTCTTTTGAAATATAACAACACTGAACTAGTGGGCTTTCATGTTAAGCACAGTCAAAGAGTAATAGGTGCATAAAAGTTTGTCGAAAATCTTATAAAAATCATAAAACTTGCATAATACTAATAAAGATGAAATGGATAGATAATCGGAGTTGAAATAAATATCATCATAAAAGTACGAAAAATGTGAAGAGATAAGAAAGTGTGGGAAGCTTTAATTAGTTCATTAGATTTACCTAATCTGTGTGTAGAAAAAATAAATTTAGAATTCCTTTCGAGAAAGGTTCCATTGTATGTGACAGATAACCCTGTGAACGCGCGCTACCAATCAAATAAGAGAAAAAACAGACCTTCTTGTAGATTTTGTTTAACCTTTTCCAAGACATGAGAATAAGGATACTCTGAAATGCGTTTGTTTAGCTATCGTCTAGTTGTTCGCTCCATATACATAGCTTTCTCCACACAGGGATAACTAAATTTGTAAATGCACTTTGAAGTGGCACAACTACGTAGTTAGCTTATCGAAAGATACCTTAATTTCATCAGTTTTGTTCCTATCCAGTGTAAACGTTCCCCAGCGAAATGTTTGTTTTCAAGGGCCCGAAAAATATGTGCACGAGCGACACATACATTCAGTTTCATTAGCTAATGGTTATCCAGAAAACTTTATCAATTGTCACAGTAAAGAAAAACCACATCTCGAAAGGACAGCTTCTGTACCAAACAAAGCTATCTTTATTAACCTACCATTGAATGGGGACCAGATTATGCAGTTGACAGATCAAAGACTTCGGTCAGCCATCAAGCGCACATTCTACACCATATCTCTTTCCCTAACATCTCGAACATTTCCGATCCCTGTACCTACGATTAAAGGAAGAAATTCTGTGCACTCTACTTCCAAATGTATCTACAATTTCACCTGAAGTTGCGATGACACACACTATATTGGTAGAACCAATAGAATGTTCCAATGTGGTCGTCGAAAAGAAAATGTTCCAAAATGGCTACTAAATCATATAGAAAATCCCAATGCAATTAATCTGAATAGAAATCCAGCATCATCATCCATTGCAAAGCATTTATTAATGTCAGGTCACAAAATCAATATTATCAATGACTGTTTCACAATTATTTCACATAACTATAATTCAAGGTTACTGAAATTGATGGAAGCATTGTGCATTAATCACATTCATCCTAAAATATGTGTACAAGCATGGACTACTTGACCTATTTAAATGCGATGATTGGTCATTAGTATGTACTTTTGTTTTATATAACTGCGCAATTGTCATGCATTTTTTGAAAAATATTATTATTGTGAACCATGCTAGTTGTAAAGCGATTGTAGAGAAACTACGAAATGACCATATCATCTTGCGAAATTTATCCTTCAAATGCCTTATTCTAATATTTGTAAAGCCTGTGGTCAAATATTGATCACAGTTGATGCAGTTTTGTTTATTATATATTTTGATGCCTGTTTCATAACTTACTTATATGAGAGCAAAAAGAACACCAAAAGTTCGATTGAACACCTACCTGTGTTTGTATAGGATTGAAGACTTTAATACGATCCGCGTATAGAGCTTCAAAGTCTTTATTTCTTAAAGCTGTCACTGGCAATGGTTGTAAATCCAGTAACTCTGTAGGCGGTATTGTCTTCTCGGGTAGAATTAAGTGTCTAAAAGACACTGGTAAGGTGACTTCTCCGCCAATCCAACGATCTGATACAGCTGTTATATAATAATGCGGTGGCAGAGGATCAAATATTGGGACGACAAATCGTAAAATATGCTCTTCAGTTGCATAACGTTGTTTCAATACAAAAAATTCATGATGTAATACAGTATTGCCATCGACATCTTCAACAAATATCCAAAAAGCTTGATTGGTTGAGTGTAGTTTTTCATCCCACATAAAATCTGGTGTCAGTGTCAATTCAACGCGTAAAGCTGACCGCGTGATTGGTTGAACATGAACACTCATCTCTAAACGTGGCAATTGATGAAGATACTTGTGCAATGGTCGACCTAACTTGGGCAGTCGAACTAATTCACCCAATTCATGATGATTCATATCGTAAAGACGATCAAATGGTATAGATTTTTTCTCTAATTTACGTATCACTTCATCGGGCAATTTTTTAAATTGACGTAATGGACACATTGACTCCCACATACGTCGTTCAATCATTTTAGCTAGTGTCAATGCATTGTCAGCTAATTCAGCCCAACCACGATGAAGTACAATTTCAAAGATTGCACGTACAAGTCGACCAGCTGATTGAGTAATATACACCATATCAGACATTAATGAAAATCCTTCTAATTTCAATCCAGATATATAAGCTTGTAGTAGACAGTTAATTTTTGCTGAAGGTTCTTCAGGCGACTCTTTTATCGGGATTGGTACACGTTCAAGCAGTTTGGCTAGTTCAAAGCGTTCTTCTTGTCTAACAGACATATATTTGAATTCAGAACTTGCAGCAAATACACGGAACAATTCGATTTCACCTAAACCAGGTCGAAGGAGTTTATTGTAGGATAATACAGTTGAATGTGTTAAATAGTAGTGTGATGCAATTCGACCAAGTTCAGTTGACTGTAAACACCCAGAACGTCGATCATAACGTATTAATTGTGATTTTTCTAATTCTGTAGCTGCTGTATGCACTAGATCACGACGATATTGTTCAAGCCATGGATCATTTTTTTCACTACCATGCGGTACACCGTATAGACTTGGATTACGTAACATACGAATGTAGAGGTATGTATAGCCTAACCAGGTAACTGCTTCACGTATAGTTGTCACAGTGCCTAAGACAATTTCAGCATTTAATAAATCAGCTAAACGTGATATCAGCTGACTTTCAATCGGAAGTTGTTGATTCATTAAACTTAAATAATATTGTAACTCTGTATGATTGGTAATCAGTACACCTTCACCTTTTGTATCATATTGTGGACGCCCGGCACGTCCAAGCATTTGCATGACATCTAAAGCGCCTAATTCTGTCCAACGACCTTTTTCAGGACTGTATATCTAAATCATTAAAAAGAAAAATATATATATATATACATGCATATTTAACACGATTGGTATAAGCATAATAATTAAGGACATCGTTTAGTAGTAAAATACGACATAAAAATGGTACATATTTGGCTAACTTTAACTGTGTAATGACTGAAGGTGAAACTAGAAAGTCTAGATCACCATACGATCCCAACCAGCGGTCTCTAACTCATTAGTCTGCGATTTAACAGCTAACTAGGTCATCATTACACTGAAAACACCGCCACATGTAGTGCCCAAAAGTTATGTGAATAAATGGGACATTACTGTCAAGTGATTCACAACGGAAAACTTAGCAATGGCATAGAATTGAGGACAAGAGTAAGACAAGACTGACTACCATTACCCATGGTAATATTTCTGATTATAGTAAACTGGACCATGTAGCAGACTTTGGGGGAGGGCGGCCAGAAGACGAGAATACGTTGGACCAACAAGACATCTCTAAGAGATTTAGACTTCACCGATCATTTGTGTCTGACGTCACACAAACTCGAAAATCAACAAGAGAAAACCAACAAGTTTGCAGAAGAAGAAACAGAGATAGAACTTTGAGTGATCATAGAGAAGACAGACTTGATGAATATTCCTAACCAACAACAATAACAACAAGCAGCAGTCTCTAGAGACGGAAGAAATTTGGAAGACGTGACTTCCTTCACTTATCCAGCCGGGCAGCATCGTATGAACTACAGGCGGGACAGATGAAGATGTCAAAACTAGAATCGGAAAGGCACGACAGACTTTCATCACTCTGAAATCAGTTTGGAAAGTTTCTGCACTCAGCATGAAGAACAAAATTCGAGGTTTCAACACCAATGTCACGGGTCAGAAACATAGTGCGCGACGCACGTAAAGCATTTTCAACAGACTACTGAAGACTTTCATCAATAGCTGTCTTCTCTGATTTCTTACTGAAGATCAGGTCGTGGGCCAGAGAGGATTAGAAGAAAAGAACTCGGACAAGGAACCAATCAAGAAAGAACCTATTGTTTAACAAATATGCCGAAGAAAGTAAAGATGGATCAAATTTACACTTTGGGGACCGTCAAGTAACGTCATAACATAATACGCCTTAGAGTGGAAACCGAAATGTACAGGTTGGGAGTACGAGGATAAAGTGAACGAGATCGTAAGAGGAGGAGATGAGAGATTATGGGCAATAGTGGAACCAGCTAAAGATGACTGCAAAAGACAGGATGATATTAAGATGTGCTGGCGAAGCTCTATGTTCATTAGGAACCTAATGGAATAGTAGATACTGTTTGTTCATCATCGTCATACTAGCTTCCCAGATAGGTGTCTTACTCGTGTCCCTTCTATTTACATACTGACTTACACAAAGAAGAGCAAGCGGACTGTCAACTGATGGTGAGACCTTAACAGCAACAGTGTGCTAACTTGAGACTATCACCATCAATCCAGATATGAGAGTTAAGGATCTAACAGTCGGGGATATTAAAGGAACGTTATCATCTAACTTTTAAGGAATATACCTTAAACTTTATGTAATAGGACATCCCCTGTGACATTGGTGGTGTACAATAAGTGTATCTCAGGGGGAATACATCCTCGAGTTTACTTATAATTGAAGGACAGATGTTTGCCTACCTTAGTAAATATACAAAATAACATTCAATAATCTCACTAATCGTACTTATCTTCATCACCCTGCTATTGAACAAAAACATTGTTTGAAATGGAAAATTCCTCCCCCCCCCCATAAAGTAACAGACACAGACAGACGCAAAAGGCTACACAATATATACTACTAATAGATTGATGAGAGTAGTTGGAACAATTTAAAATATTGGAATAGAGAGGATAAAACTTTTCTTTTCAAAATGGTTAAATACTGAAGTGATTTAATGTGTTGATAAATTGTTTCTGAACAGCATGAAGGTGGTAAAAAACTTCCTGATTGCTAGGGTTTCCACACAGTTTTTTTGGGATACGCCCCAAACACGTTTTATGGATAATTTTAGAAGACATGTAAACATTAATTTTTTTTACGCCCCGTCTCTATAATATATTTCACAATAGAAGTGTCAGGTTGTTTATGTTCATCATTCATGGGTTTGGTGAGCCGTGGCGGGGGGGGTGTTCGATTTACTTTTGAAGCCATTTAGCGATATACTCTGAGGTCCTTATACTTGAAGTCATTTAATCCACAAGTGAAAGGAATAAAAATCAAGGAATTCTATAATGACCACTAAGGAATACAAAAAAACAAGATTAAGCCTAATGCATAAATATTATTCTGGTGTGGAATAACGCTCTTGTCCACGACAAGTAAAACACTAAGTCGCATCATCCTGGAGAGAATAAAAGATGCACTGGTTGCAGAATTCAGCCAATCCAGAACAAGCTGGATTCAGCAAACACAAATCATGTGTCGATAAAACTGCGACCCTATGCATTGTCATCAAACAAAGCATAGAGTAGCAGTCAAACCTCTACCTCAACTTCTTTCATCGACTTCGAAAAGGCCTTCGACAGACAGTGTTGACCGAGAAGTAATTTGGGAACTACTTCAACACTACAGCGTGCAGTGCCCAAGTCTTTATCAACCTCATTCAACAGCTATATGACAGTGCTACCTGTCAGGTGATCCACAGCGGAAGACTCAGTGAGGCGTTCGAAGTGCATACAGGAGTAAGACAAGGCTGCCTGCTTATTATCACCAACGATATTCCTAAATGTGGTGGACTGACTGCATTACGCGTCAGACTGTTGGTAGCGAGGAGTCAGGAATACGCTAGACGACCAATAAGAAGACTCCGGAAGATTTGTATTTCGCAGATGATGTATGTCTAATGTCACACAAACTCGAAGACTTGCAGGCGAAAACCAACAAACTGGCTGAAGAGGCAGTCAGCGAAGACAGGACTCCAGGTGAACACAGAGAAGACGGAGGTGATGGAGATAACCAACCAACTGATGGCAATAGCAACAACAGCCAGCACAAATCAGTATTAACGGGAGAGATTTAACAGAGGTTACTTCCCTAACTTACCGAGGAAAAATCATTTCAACTACAGGCGGGACGGATGAAGATGTCAAAGGTAGTTAGAATCGGAAAGGCGAGATACGCTTGCATCAACCTGAAACCAGTTTGGAAATCTTCCGCCCTCAGCATAAGGAACACTGTGCGTCGGTGGCACAGTGGTTAGGACTCTCGCGGACCATGCACATGGTTCGGGGTTCGATCCCCCGCCGACGCACACCTGATACCTATGGTCGGCCTGCAAAATTTGGGCGACCGATATCACATGCTGAAAATTCCATACCTGTACCAAGAAATACGGTGTGGAATCAAGCTGTAATCAAAAAAAGATTCGCATTTTCAACACCAATGTGAAGTCAGCCAGTGCTTCTATATGGGTCAGAAACTTGGCGTGTCACGAAGAAGATTTCGAACAGGCTAATTAAGACTTTTATCAACAGCTGCCTTCGCTGGCTCCATACTGAAGATCAAATGGCCAGAAAGAATCAACAACAAGAAACTATGGGAACAAACCAACAGGCGAGAGCTGATCGCCCAGTAAAGGTGTAGGAGAAAATGGAGATGGATTGGGCATACACACAGTCGAAATTGTCTCCTATTCGGATTCCACTTGAGGGCCTTGTGTGGTATAGGCTTTAGTGTACCTTTTACAAAAACAAAACTAAAATCAACGAAAAATAACAAAAACACATCACCAAATTTTTTTAAAGAAACATTACCTGAGTTCCTTTAATCAATACTGTGTGCGCAGGTAGATTTACACCCCAGGCTAATGTGGCAGTAGAGACTAAAACTTGTATATGCCGATCAGCGAATAAATCTTCAACTAGAGTACGATCAACACGACTCATACCAGCATGATGAATACCAAAACCATATGGGAGTAAATCTTTCAGTTCAAGATTTTTCACCTTAACAAAAAGAAATAACACAAAAGCACACGAGAGACTGATAAAATCAAATTGAATAGAATTTTATAATGAGAAGAACAAATGAGCTGAGAATAATCGTAACTTGTTTTTTTTTGACGAATACTTTACGCCAAGCTTTTACAACAAAACAAATAAATCAAATAAATCCTCACTTCTTCCCAAAGAGTAATTTCACTTATATTTCTGCTGAATACCTGACATTTATCATCTTGATAACATGATTCACGTAGTTTCTTTATGCATCTGGGTAGTTGTGTGAGTATTGGCAGAGGTGTGACGGACACGATTTCCGACCGTATCATGAAAGCTAGGGTGGCACATACGTCATCTTGAGCCACCACTGGAGCCGTCGCGACATTAGCCTGGCTGTCAAAGCTCAGGTTTACAATGCTTCGGTGTGCGCTGTCTTGCTCTACACCTGCGAAACCTGGCTTCTCCAAGCTGAGAATGTGCAGCGACTCTGCTTATTCTATCATCCCCGTCTCAGTGGAATTGCTGGCGTTCGAAAGCATCATCATGTGATCAATCCTGAGGTCCGGGGGGCGAGTGTTGACACAGTGGAGATCACCATTCACTGAGTGTCGTCATCTGGAAACACCGGGGTTTCGGTGGCTTGGACATGTGCTGCGGATGTAATCCCGAAGACTTCCGTACCTGTCTTTGTTCGCTAGCCCTGAGATGGGATGGAAAAAGGCGGAGAATTGATCAGCCCATGATGTGGCGTCGTGCGATAAAGGATATTTGCGATATGTTAGCATCGATTGGTGCACCACGACTCCCTAGTTGGAATCCGAGAGACAGCTCGAAACGTCATCGGATGAGGCCAAGAATGTTAGTCATCAATGGCGAACGTACTTCAATTTCCTTCTTTCTTCGTTTTATGACAATAATTCAACGAATGCCGTTTGATCTTGTTAAATGTAACTGCTTTCTCCCCAGATAAAGTCCTTTATTAATTCTCTACTATTTTTCACACGTTGCTTTATTGTATTATTCTATGGAGCATCTGCTTGGTACCATATTGTACCGGGTTTTGTGTTTTGTGAATAAATAAATGAACAGTTCCTATATTTCAGATAAGCAGTCGTCGGTTAATCTTCTATGTAATTATTCTTTCATCCCTACATTCCCTCTTTATATTGTTTTTCTACATTTTTTTTATCGTTTCCTCTACCTTAACATTTGCTTTAATGGACTGTGACAACTTGAACTGCTACACACTTTTGCACTAATTGTTGATGCATCTTGTAGGTGCGGTTGTAGCAGTTGTAAATCTGCTAGTAGGCAACGGCTAGGAACAAGTCACAATTCTTCTCTAAACGGTATAACCCCTTTCCGAAACAAGATATTCTTCCTTTGGCCAGAGATCCATCCAGACTTATGCATTCAACGCGAAGACGGATAGATACTTATCACACTGATTTAATATCCCAGTTTACCAATGATATAAAACATGAGAAGGGTTGGAGAACTGTATGTCTGATGCAATGTTCAAAATATATGTGAGTATAGTGCAACAAATCACCACCATAGGAATTTAAAGCCCTGACTAAGAACCAAAAGCGTATCCTCCTCACTAATGATGCTTCTCGCCCTAGACTCAAACAATTATCATCTACTATGGATAGCAACTTGATATGCTGCGAAACAACCAAATATTCAATCACACTCTCTTCATCCTTAATGTTATGATGAAACTAATATTTAGTAATTTCCACTCATTATCGTACTCTGGAGCAAAAGCTTCAGCTGTTATAATCTCTGCAAGATATATTTGGCACAGAGAGAGACGGCGTATATCACACCAACCAAGAGCGGTAAATATACCCAAGGACTTAAACTTCTGTTCCCATGTGAGTGGGTGAGATGTGATAAAACACAACTGTCCCCTTAGCCCGCCATACGAAGGACGTTTCAAAGTCAAAGCAAGTTCCTCAAAATACTTTGTTATTCAACGGGTAGCGCTAGTATCGGCAGATTAAAACCCGTCGTTATCTAGATAACGACTCTCCCCTCCTTGTACGTGGTGATAAAACGGTTCCCCACAAGCAGTAGCCGTCAACATGGACACAAACATGAAAACTGATATGATCGGCAAGAGAGTTAAGTGGGTTTAACCTTCGACTAGTGAAACAATTACCATCCACTGCAGACAACAACTTGATGTACCGAACGGTGTAGTATGTAATAATTCAGTAATGACTATGCTTACATGTAATACACTTCCTCAAAGTTTTGACAAAAGAATATATGCAAATCGAAGATAGTTGAACGGCTTTTCAGTACGAAAGGAACATATTTTTTTATTATTATTTATTGTTTGTCCAAACAAACTTGGTGAAGGATGAACATCAACAGATAGGTCACAAAAAAATCAGATAGTTTGTTCGACGGCTGGGAAACTACCCAGACGGAAGCGGGCGATTGCGTTAAAGGGTCACTGCTTCCCTGAGCCTTTGACTTGGAATCTGATCCACAAGGTAGTGAAGCAATGCCAGGAGCTCGTTTTCATGGTTTCCATATAACGAAATTAGTTTCATACGCCACTCGAGCCGTTCGGATTCTAGAGTCTAAGTACATTATAGGTTTGGAATCAGGGTTTACCAGCTTCTCTAGATAAACTAACATATCCACCAGTTGAGTTGTGAAAGCCAGAAGTCCATATTTACCCTTTCAGTTTTGTGAGGAACATCCCAGCCAGGTGGTGAAGGCAGTGACTATGACTTATCTGGCAGAGACTATGAACACGTGGCCATATAAGAGCAATTCGAGAGGGAGATCAAAGTCTACCCAACCTCAGTCATACCAAGTCGTTTATGCAATACAGTCTTGTGGAAAAAATGTATATTTGAAAAAAGAAAGAAAAATAAATCTCACTTGTTCAGCTTCTTGACGTAATACAACTGCAGAGGCATTTTTATCTTTCATAAATATACCAAGTGTGTCCTTTTCTAAGCATGCATCTCTCAGAGCACGTGCTGTTTTCCCAGTCTCTTTACGACTATGCACAAATATTAATACTTGATTACGTCCAGCGTGTTCCATCACTTTATCATAGACAATATCATTCATTATTTGATAACGTTTTACAGCTTTCTTTTCAGTTATTCCAATATATTGTTGTTCTAACGGTACAGGGCGGTAACTGTATACAACACAGGGGAGAAATATAGTAAGTAATACAATCAATAGGCAAGGTTGATTAGGTCATGACAAAAAAATGTCTATAACAAATTGAAATTATGCACTGAAGCAGTGATATCCAAGTGTTGGTCTGCAGGGATTTGATTTGATTGGTTACAGGATTTCTTTATGAGCTGACATCGGTTAGAGTACCACTGGAAAACTTGAGAGTACTAAACAGCTGTTCCATCCTAGTTTGGGACTCTACATCAGTACCCATCCACCGCCAGAGTTCAAGCCAAAGACCTTCCGGTTACAAGGCGAGCTCGTAGAACAGATATCCTTCGATATAAGTATAAAACTTGGGCACTGTGGTAGAGTATAACTCTATAATGGTTAAGATTTTATTTTGATAAATCACAGTGTTGTACAGTTATATTAACTGATGACGTTTTGAGCACAAACTATTGCTCATAATCATATGATATGATTATGGTTATTTATTTTTAAGTCGATTTAACTTTTCCCATTGATTGATTGGACTCGAGAATTTTCGGTACAAGGTTTGAGTCACAGTGGAAACACCAACACTCACTTGGTGAGTTGCAGGTACATCTGGCAAGTGAGTTCCAATCAGAATGAAATACACATGCTAGATCCCACCAAACTACTTCAAGTTAATACTCAGATAATGTCGACGCGTCCGTACCCCGCTACTAGTCGACATGTTAACAGAGGCCGAACGGGAAAATCGAAATTGCTGATGAAATAGAAATAAAATATAAGTAGTCACTCAACAACAATCAGTTGCAATGGCAGGGAGAGGATTGGTGATAACTACCTAGCTGTCTAAACCTCGGTATATGCAGTACAGACTCAAACTTGTGCCTAAACCGATGAACCATAGCTGTTTAACAACTGATACCACCTGTTTAAGCTCAACTCATTGAATACTAACGTTTTACCATAACAAAAAGGGTACATGAAACGACATACTGATCTGTATGTAGTTCATCATTATTGAAAAGATAGATGAATAACAAACGAAATGATGAGTGATAACTATCCTTGCAACAATAAGAGGAACAGAAAACATTATACTAACCTATTATCAAAATAGAATAAACCTTTTGAACAATCCACTCGTAGAAATGTTGCTACATCTTCATAATTCGGTAGTGTTGCACTTAATCCAACAAGACGTACACCACCACCACCTCCAATATCATTAGATGTAATTATTCCAGATGTACTTTCTACAGCACGTAATGTTCGTGCAACAATCGCCTCGAGTATTGGACCACGATCATCGTGTAGTAAGTGAATTTCATCAAAAATAATCAGTCTAACTAATTGTATGTAGGCGCGTTCATCACCACCACGACGAGTGATTACATCCCATTTCTCTGGTGTACAAACAATTACTTGAGTTTCATAGATTTGTTCACGACTAAGCTGATGATCACCTGTTAATTCATCAACTTTAATACCATAACTGCTTAACAACTAGAATAAGAAATAAGAAAAAAATATGCATATTGTTAATTATAAACATCATCTTGATAAATAAAAACTGTAATTTGTATTACAAAAGAATATATATATACTACTGATTGACTGAGATAAGTAGTTGTATGCCGATCACATTAAACAGTAGTGCTTGCTAGCCATATCGAGGTGATCTAAACACTCAACAGCCTTCAGGATATTAGATAGTTGGAGGCAATCGGCCACAGGAAGCCTTCGACCTAGGTTTCGTGCTGGTTGGCACTCGTCAGCAAGGCTTATCAGCAACCCTGAAGGAACTCATGTCCCTTCTAAGATTAGAACCCGCGTCACTCAGTGCTGCAGTCAGAGACGTTACCAACGTGCCAACTAGCACGAAACCTAGGTCGAAGGCTTCCTGCCGATTGCCTCCAACTATCTAATATCATTAAATCAATGTGCACCGTGATGGCGAGCTACGTAGAATGGTGGCCACATTACAACCTGACTGATAGAATTCAGTCTGCACCAAAGAGAGGACTAGACACGTCACACTAGTTACTAGTGTCCAATGAAAATACCCACTACAGTCCTACAGGAGGTCAATCGCGAACCCGAATAGCTCAGTGGTAACGTCTCTGACTGCAGCACTGGGTGACGCGGGTTCGAATCTTAGAAGGGACATGAGTTCCTTCAAGGTTGCAGATACGCCTTGCTGATGAGTGCCAACTAGCACGAAACCTAGGTGTCCAAGGCTTCCTGTGGCCGATTGCCTCCAACCATCTAGTATCATCACAAACAGTGTACACCGTGATGGCGAGCTACGTAGAATGGTGGCCACATTACAACCTGACTGATAGAATTCAGTCTGCACCAAGGAAAGGACTAGACACGTCACACCAGTTACTGGTGTCCAATGAAAATACTCAACAGCCTATTTGTGCGTTTGGAGCTAAGCTCATCAGCGATGTTCCCAGTTTGACTCGGCTAGGAAAGTCTAATCGCTTTAAACTACCTAACAATAGTTGACCAACGGGAGGCTAATTGGAGGGAATCGTCATGAAGGCCCAGGATTTAGGCTTCCCACTTGTTGGCACTCGTCAGCAACGTGTATCTGTCCTCTTTGAGATACGAACCCGTGTCACCCAGGGTTGACGAGTGCCAAGAAGAAGAGGGGAATTAAGGTCCACGGCTTCCTGGTGATAGTTTGCAACCACAAAATATGAGCTCAGAGTGCAGTAATCATGATAGCAAGCCATCAAATTAAAAACTTGATTGGTAGAATTCAGTTCTTCTATACGGATGAAAAACTTGGCGGGTCACAAAGAATATTTCCAACAGGTTGCAGACCTTTATCAACAGCTGTCTCCGCTCTGTACTCAAGATCAGATGGCCGGAAAGAATCACCAACAAGAAACTATGGGAGCAAACAAAACAAGAACCAATCGCTCAACAAATATGCAGGAGAAAGTGGAGATGGATTGGACACTGGCTGAGGAGGCCGTTGGGTGACATCGCGCGTCAGGCCATAGCTCGAGTGGAACCCGAAAGGGAAGCGGTGAGTGGGACGTCCAAGTGTGACATGGAGGAGATCGTGTGAAGAGGAGTTGAAAGAGTGTGGACTAACATGGATGCAGGTGAAAAGTACAGCAGAAGACAGAAGCAAGTGGAGACGTGCAGTTGAAACCCTTTGTTCCACTAGGAACCCAAGGGAACAATTATAATAATGTCTTTCAATTCAAGACTACCCTGAACAGCGATTTAAGAATATAACTTGAGCAATGTAGTAGAGTATAATGCCGTCATGGATGGTCTCACAGTGTTATTGTACAGTAATATTTACTAATGACCACGTTTCGAGCACAATTTATTACTGCTCATAATCATGTCAAGTTACTCACACAACTTTCTGACTTTGTTCATATCATTTCATTATTTCTCATCTCTTGATTTGACGGGTAATGATATTTTCCATCTCTTGTATCTCTAGTCTCTTCACACACACACAAACTCAGCAGTAAAGGGAACAATATTCATATCTGAATCAGAATATGAACAAGGAGAATTAGCTATGTCAGATTGTAAAATAAAACTAACGGATGAAAGTAAATTATACATTGGCGTTTACAAAAAAAGAACAGATCCTAATAGATATTTAGACTTCAATTCATCTCGTCCGTTATCTATGAAGGTAGGCTTATTTAAGTATCTAACAAACAGATAGGAGAAGCATTGGTGTTAAACAGCTATCCTATAAAATTCCTTAAGAATATAGAAAAAGGTCACAAGAACAACAAAAATAGTAGTGAAACTAATAATGACGACATAAATAAAAAAGAATGTAAGGCTTCTACAGTTTTACCATACAACAAGGGGCATCTGAGACCCTACGTAGAATTCTTAATAAAGCTGGGATTTGAGTGGCATTTAATAATAATAATAATAATAATAATAATAATAATAATAATAATAATAATGGCTTTATTCCAAACCTACAAGCTGACTCAGACACAAGCTCTGTGGACTAAACGACCCAGTGGATCCAATAATATAATTTAAAAAACACCTTGTAATGACTGTGAGGTCAACTACAATAGGTCGAACCAGTAGATCGAAGGTAGTCAGATTACCAGGACATAAGAAGTTAGCTAAGTTTAGAATGACAACCCACGAAAATAAGTAATTTAGAAAAAAACTCAGCGATTGCACTGCATGCATTAACACACAGCTACACAATAGGGCGGGACAGAGTGAAAATTCTAAAAAGTAATATAGGTAGGTGGAGAGAAAGGTTAATTGCTGAATCTTTGTTCATTAGTAGAAATGACTAATCACCAATACCAGAGATATGAAAAATTCTACTACCAATCAAATCAAGAGATGACAAATAATGGAATTATATGAACAAAGTCAGAAAGTTGTGCGAGTAACTGGATGCGATTATGAGCAGTAATAAATTGTGCTCGAAACGTCATCATCACCAAATATTGCTGTATAACACTCTGTCAGACCTTATCAGAATCAATTTTCTCCATAATGGAATTACCCTGTGTGGTGTGAACATTTTCATAAACGTTTAGCATTTATATTATACACTATTCACATCTTTCATTTTTGTTTAAACCAGATCCTATACTGGAATTATAAAACGAATAAAGCCTTTATTGCGGGCCCTCAGTATTCTCACTTGATCGGTGAATGTTTGATTAACTCATAAACACTACAATTTATTCGTTTTATTATGGACAAGATATTACGTCCCGAACGCTTTGATGCTGATTCCAATTGCCAAACATCTTCGAAGATTTGGAATCATTGGTTTCGTACATTCAATACTTTTATCACTAAATCTTCAACTCCAGATTCAGACAAACTTGATGTTCTCATCAACTATATCTCACCTACTGTATATGAATACATTGCTGAATGTAAAACATTTGACGGCGCTCTTAGTACTCTTGAGAAACTGTATGTCAAACCAAAGAACGAGATTTTTGCTCGACATCTATTATCCACATGCAAACAAGAAACTGGACAGAGCCTCGACCAATTTTTACAAAAACTGAAATCTCTGGCAAAAGATTGTTCATTCAAACCTGTCTCGGCTGAACAAAATCAGAATGATGCAATACGTGACGCATTCATAAGTGGAATGCAATCTAATAATATACGACAACGTCTTCTGGAAAACAAATTACTTGATCTTGATACTGCTTATGAACAAGCTTGATCCCTAGAAATGGCTTATCAACAATCACATTCGTTTCATCCTTCCGAATTCTCCAATTCTGCTGCAATATCAAACAGTGATACATCAAATGAACTAAACTCTTATGTGGGTGAAACAGGATTGACTGATTCAATAAATGAGAAATGCTACTTCTGTGGATTTACTAGACATCCTCGCTCTAAATGTCCTGCAAGGGATGCAGTATGCAAACTCTGTGGTAAGAAGGGGCATTATCAGAAGGTCTGCCGGTCAAAATCGTACACGAAAACTACATCAGTTACTAGTTCTTTGTTGTCTTCCATGACTCTAGCCGCCGCTCCACAGTCTCTCTCCAATGCGGTTGTGCAGCTTTTTGTAAATGACATTCCCCTACAAGCCCTCGTAGATACTGGGAGCTCAGACAGTTATATTTCTTGTGCAGTCGTTCAAAAACAACATATAAAGGTAGAGCATTCTCGCACTTCAATCACAATGGCTTCCACAAGTCTGACAACTCATACTCATGGTCACTGTTATGTAAATCTACGTTATAAAGACTCGAGTTACTCACATATCAAACTTTCAGTGTTGCCAAATCTGTGTGCTGATGTGCTATTAGGTCATGATTTTTTACGCTTGCATAATAAACTCGAAATTCCATTTGAAGGTAAAAACAATCCATTTTCACTGTGTAATCTTGTTGCTGCACATATTGATCCACCTCCCTTGTTTCATAACCTAACACCCAAATGTGTTCCGATCGCTACAAAATCACGAAGACATTCCACTTCAGATGAACATTTCATCAAGCTGGAAATCAAAAATTTACTCAGTGAGCAGATCATCGAACCATCAAACTCCCCTTGGCGCGCCCAAGTTTTGGTCACTACTAATGAACGCCACAAGCGTAGAATGGTGATTGATTACAGCCAAACGATAAATCGTTTCACATTATTGGATGCCTATCCACTCCCAAAAATTGATGAGATGATTGAAAAGATTTCAAAATATACTGTATTTAGCACTTTGGATTTAAAGAGTGCTTACCATCAAATACCCATCAAAGAAGAAGAGAAACTCTTCACAGCTTTTGAAGCTTGCGGCAACCTCTATCAGTTCCGTCGTATTCCCTTTGGTGTCACAAACGGTGTTTCGTGTTTTCAGAGAGTTATCAGTCAGATTATCAGAAATGAAAATCTTCAAGCTACATTTGCTTATTTAGATAATATAACTATTTGTGGTGAAAACACAGAACAACATGCAAAAAATCTTGCCCGGTTCTATGAAGCATCCAGAAAATATGGGCTAACATTCAATGAGAATAAAAGTGTTATTGGCGTTAAACAAGTAAAACTTCTAGGCTATGAAGTTTCTCATAAAATGATCAAACCTGATCCCGATAGACTTCAAGCATTATGGAATTTATCACCTCCACGAGATCTTAAATCCCAACAGCGAGTCATTGGTCTCTTTGCGTATTATTCACAATGGATATCTCATTTCTCCGATAAAATTCAACCCCTTATACAAAATAAAATCTTTCAATTACAAGGTACTATTGTAAGCTCATATGCAGCATTAAAAAATGAACTTGCTCAATCTGTGATGACTACTGTGGATCTCGACTTGCCCCTTATAGTGGAAACCGACGCTTCGGATACTGCTATAGCTGCTACGTTAACACAAAATGGTAGACCCGTTGCATTTTTTTCCAGAACACTATCACCAAGTGAACGGCATCACTCAGCGGTGGAGAAAGAAGCTTATGCCATCGTCGAAGCTATTAGAAAATGGCGTCATTATTTACTTGGTACTCATTTCCAACTCATTACAGACCAACGATCAGTTTCTTTCATGTACGATATGAACCACCATGGGAAAATAAAGAATGACAAGATTCAGCGTTGGCGAATAGAACTTTCTTGTTACAGTTTTGATATAATCTACCGTTGTGGCAAAGAAAACAAAGTCGCCGATGCATTATCTCGCGGATATTCTGCTTCTGTCATGGGTGAAACTAATCTGAAAGACCTACATAACTCTCTGTGCCATCCAGGAGTTGTTCGCCTTCTTCACTTTGTGCGTTCTAAGAACCTACCTTTTTCTGTTGATGATGTGAAGAGGACGATATCTAGTTGTGCAGTTTGTGCTGAGCTGAAACCCAGGTTTTGCAAAGTATCCACAGGAAATCTTATTAAAGCGACTTCTCCTTTTGAACGTCTAAATATTGATTTCAAAGGACCTCTTCCTTCAAACTCCCGGAACAAATATCTTCTTACGATAATTGATGAGTACTCTAGATTTCCGTTCGCTTTTCCTTGCCAGGATATGACAGCATCAACTGTTATTAATTGCCTGTGCCAGTTGTTTTCCCTGTTTGGTATGCCATCCTACATACATTCAGACAGAGGATCGTCGTTTATGTCTGCAGAATTAAAACATTTTCTCCACGATAAAGGAATAGTTACCAGTAGAACAACAGCATACAACCCCCAATCAAATGGACAGATTGAACGTCTCAACGGCACTCTCTGGCGATGTATATCACTAGCTGCTAAATCTAGGTCCATACCAATCTGTGAGTGGGAAGTTGTTCTCCCCGACGCTCTTCATTCTATCCGTTCTCTTTTATGTACTGCCACAAATACTACTCCACACGAACGGATGTTCAGGTACAATCGAAAATCAACGTCTGGTGTTTCTCTTCCCAGTTGGTTAACTATTCCTGGACCGGTCTTGATGCGCCGTAATGTACGTTCTAAATATGAATCTCCAGTTGATGAAGTTGAACTGATTGAATGTAATCCCAAGTATGCTCATGTGAGACTTCCAGATGGACGTGAGGAAACAGTAACTATTCATCATCTTGCACCAAAAGAACATATATTTCAATCGCCCGTTAGCATGCCGATTCCAGACGCAGTACCAGAATGCCTCCAAAATCAACTTACTGAAGACGACATATCGACCCGTTCTACAGATACTGAAACTCCTATTTTGACGGACAATTTAAGTGAAAATGTCAAAATTGATCCGAACCCATCTTCTTTACTAGAGAAACAACGAAGGGTTCGTCCATACAATCTGAGAAGCCGCGAAGTCTAAACAGTTTTAAAAGTCTTGACTCCTTATGCTCTGTATTCTCAAACAAAAGGGGAGAAGAATGTGGTGTGAACATTTTCATAAACGTTTAGCATTTATATTATACACTATTCACATCTTTCATTTTTGTTTAAACCAGATCCTATACTGGAATTATAAAACGAATAAAGCCTTTATTGCGGGCCCTCAGTATTCTCACTTGATCGGTGAATGTTTGATTAACTCATAAACACTACACCCTGGCCTGAGATTCTAATGACAGGTAAACTGTACAGTTGTAAAGGAATCACAAACATATAACCAAGAACACTGAGGTGGTGGTGAATTTGATCGTGTAGTCAGTATTAAATGTCGCCTATCCGCAACAAACAAACAAACAAAAATATAATAAATACTTAAACAAAAAAAAACTTGTCAATATAAATTTTACCTTGTTAAAATTTCCAACAACTTCTTGTACTAATGATCGCATAGGAGCAATGTATATTAGTTTAAATTCATCTTTATTAATTGTTCCATCAGGATTAATGAATTTGCCAAGTTCATGCATAATACACAATAAGGCTACATTTGTTTTTCCAGCACCCTTTTATTTAAAAAAAAGAAGAGAAAAGGAAACAATATGAAACTATGACAACTATACACATAGCTTAAATCGACTTATACATAATCAATCAGGGATAAAAAACATCAACTTTTCCTGGTGAAAATGAATGATGGCACAATCGAAAGATCTATATTTAGAAAGTCTTCATGGACAGGACAGTACATGCATTTCAAGAGTTTTGTTCCAATCCAGTATAAAAAGAACTTAGTCAGAACACTGTTCAATAAAGCACGAAAAATTTGTTCTGACAGTACTGTTGAGCATGAAATAAGATCTCTGAAGGATATCTTATCTAAGAATGGATATCCTGAGAAGTTCATTAATAAATACTCTAAAGAAAATAGCCCCTGCAAAACAATCCAAACAGTTCCGAAGAAACCTGTCTATATTAGTTTTCCGTTCAAAGGAGGCGATGTACAGGAAGAAGTCAAGCAAAGACTCGACAAAGCCATCAAGAGAACTTATTATGCTGCAAAACTTGTTTTCCTTAACACCACTAAGCGAGTGATTCAACAATCTGAGAAGGATCAGTAGCCAATCCTCGACACTTCAAACTTCGTATATCAGTTTGAGTGTGTTTGTGGAAGCAAATACATAGGTCGTACGGAAAGGCGATTGTCTACTCGCATGATGGAGCATTTGCCAAAATGGTGTAAAGTGCCAAAATCCTCAATAACAAAACATCTTGTGGACTACGGACATGACATCGACACGGTCAAGTCATTCACTATTGTCAGCAGACAAAGAAACAAGAAGATGCTTGCAGTTGCAGAGGCTTGTGCAATTCGAGTTTATAAACCAGGTCTCTGTGTACAAAAGGAGATGGTCGTGACTCTGAATCTACCTTGGTAATACGTTTTACTTATTACTCTGCCTCTTATTATTATTATTCTTGATTCATTTAAAACTATCCTTTATCAGTAGCATTATCTTAACTCACTTCAACACTATTATTATTATTGTTATTATAACCATTACTATTGATATTACTCTGTTTGCAGTTCTTGTTATATTCTCTAATGTCTAATTGTTTATCTAAGTGATGTAATTGAAGCATAATGCAATTTATCTTAATTTGATCTCTCATACTCTTTTTCCCCTTATCTATTTATTTGAACATGACCTGGAAAACATCCGCACCTTTCTTTCTGCATGACTAATTCAATGTAATTTGTCTACTTATCAGTCTTATATCTCCCAATGTAATTTCAAAAGTATATATATCCGTGTATGTAGAGTATTCAGCTGACGAGTTCTACCGAAATTTGATGAATTCATTAAATCCTGCTTTATTAACCTTTACTGCTTGTTTTGTATACAATACTACACAAGCATACACAATTAAATAATTACTCCTTTCGACTAAGAACCGAAAGTAACATCATGAATAATAAAGGGGAGGAATCATACGCAGAGACAGATATTGCTGAACGGGATTGATGACACGTTATGATGACATGTTGAGTGGTTGTTTGAATTGAACAGGTTCCTTTATGTTCCAGGCGGCGAAGTTCAACAATAGCGTCACAGGAGTGTGAACGCTCCAATGACCTTGAACGCATGCTAGTCGTTGGCTAATGGCATCTGTCATTATCACAGTTGAAATATCAACGCTATTCATCACCTTAGGAGCGAATTTCACCCAGATCACGTTTTTAAGTACTGTTTGGACAATGTGTTAATAGCTCGGTAGGGTTATGATTAAGGTTAGGATTAAGCTTCTGGTTACGATTAGGGATAGATTTCTAGTTGATGTCATTTATTTTAATTTGTTTTATTATCCACGTTTTCCTGGTAAGTAGTCGTCTATCCTCTGGTTGGAAACCACAGTAATTCAACCGAGGGCTTTTTTGGAAGACTGCAAACAGGATGAGAGAGATAAACGATTCACAAAAGCAGTTTACCTGTAGTCATTTCCGTGAATACATGTACAGAAACTAGTCTAACTTAGCAACTGATACTCCTCGTTACAACTAGGACGTGTTTTTAAGTCATGTCGGAGAAAGATAACTTGTTTAATGCGTTTTTAAGCGTTTTCTTGTCAATATACATCATTTTTTGATCAGACGTTCTTCATTTTTATGATTGGTCAGCTGAAGGTCACTCGTGCGTTCGCACTCCTGGGACGCTATTGTTGAACTTTGCCATATTTATTTTGTGGGTGTCTACGATAAAACTGCATATTTGTTTAGGTTGAAGTAGACGAAGTGGGATTCAAACCTGGGACCCATTGATTGGAAATCAACTGCTTAAGCCAGTGAGCCCTATTTCTAGAAACATCCCAGACTACTAATTATTTCTCCAATTTATGAATACCGTATGCCGTTACTCGCCTACGCACTCACTCTGAATAATACTTCCTAATACCTTCATTTTACTACAGTTGCAGTGAAATCCTAAAAGGAAAATGACTTTTTCAGTATTACTACCATCATGAGTAAGGTATTCTATTCAAAAAGGGAGGTGGGCGATATCGAGTATTTTACGGAAATTTGGTCAATTTTATACAATTCAGTACGGAAATAAATCCTTGAGAGTTCAGCTATGAGTGAGTAAAACCAAAGAACTATTGAAATTGAAACAATTCGTCAATGAGCAATAAGCAATACTCCTCCAAAACAATCTCCTCTTTGGGATAACCAAGCAAATAAATAAATAAATGCATAGAAATAATTTAAAGAATACTGTAAAAAAATAAGCAAAAATAATGGAGACTAACAGTTGGAGCGCATAGCAGTAAATTTTCATCCGTCTCCATAGCAGCATGATATAATTTACTCTGTATAAGATTGAGTGTTTTACAGCCTTCAAAAGCAGCTTGTGCATAAGCAGGAAGTTTTTCAATTTTTATTAAAGTTTCACCTGATTCTAAAGTCTTTTGACGTAAAGCTGGTACATGCACCTCTTCATAACCTTTTTTCTGTTTACGAAATGAACCATCAGGTAATTGACATCTTTTATTAGCCATTAAGTGTCCACCTTGAGAGAAGGCTAAACCTTCTAAGTCAACAATATTTGCCACGCCGATAGCACCATCTTCAGACAATTGAATTCCTTCATCTTCCATATTCTCTTGCTCCATATCAGCCTACATTTAAATAATAATAACAATAGTAATAATGTTACTTGTTTTTTTTTAAATTAATGTTAATTAGCTAAAAACAGGTAGAAGACAGAGTCAGGATCAACTCAAGACACCCCTCCTTGGTAGAGTACCACAAGGTACCGTGCTAGGCCTCCTATTACTTATCTTGTATAACAAAGAATTGCCTGGGGTCAATGAGTTTTCTATGGCTCTCTATGCAGATGATCTACAAATCTGGAGAGAGCCTTGGAGTAATAACGACATGTTCAAGTTGCAAGATCTCAACAAATTGTTAAATTTGTCCAAAGAATGGATGCTCCTAATCGACGCAGCGAAGTGAGAAACCATGCGTACTAGGCATGCAAGTGTAAACTCATATGACTTAGAGAGGTACTACTCTCATCACTTCATACACGCACGGATCCACATATAATACTAGACCATGACCTAAAGACCAAAGCAATCTGTCGCACGGTGGCAGCTCGAAGTTTTAGATCACTATGGGCAATACGCACAGCGTTGACCAGAGTCACCAGTGAAATGTTCATTACTTTATATACACCTATAATGAGATCAAATCTGGAGAACTCCACTCAGACAGCCGTTCCATGTTTTAAAGGGGACTCATACATTCAAGAAGAGGTTCAAAGGAAGGCCACACTTACGATTCTTAGTATAGCTAATTTATCATACGAGGAGAAACTAAAAAGCTTGAATTTCTTCTCTTTATCATATTCTAGGTAGACAGGAAACCTTATTGCCATGTTGAAAATTCTAAGAAATCACAATGGACCTGATCTATCCTCTCTTTTCCTTCCTACCGGGTTGGAAAATCTCAAAATATATAGCACACGAGTTCAAAAGTCAAGAAGGAACTATATCGCTGTGGAGTACTGGTTATCCCACCGAGCCATAAACTCTTGGAACCAGCTCCTAAAAGAAGTGGTACCTGAGTCCTCAACCGACTCTTTCAAGAAGGGATCAGACAAGCACAGATACTTACTAGAAAAGGATTAACACAGGTTTGAAGCGTTCTGTCCTCAATCAAGAAGTCTGAATCTGAAGAAACCGTCAGTTAGCTTCTGTCTCACTTATCTTTGACTCGTACACTTCAACCTCAGTCGCAGCTTAGTCTGAAACATCGAAATGACACCGAAAATTCCAACTGTACAGACCGCGAGCTTGACACTCATCTCATTAACTGACCTGTTTAACTCAACAGTTAATAATAATACCTCATAGCCTTACCCTACACTTTTTATCAAGTGAAGAATTAAACGAATAATTTAGTTGTCTATAAATCAGACTAGATAGTTCACATCAAAGAAATTCACTGAGGGGAATACCAAATTACGGTCAACACTCAATATAATTAAAACTATATTTTGAGCAGATTTAAAAATTAACTTCACTTAATAGGTGGCAATTAAACTATGCTCTGCTGTGGTGTCCAGAAGAAAAAAACAAATAACGCGACAGACAAGGTGTAACGATGCGAAAAGACCAACTAACAAAAAACTCTTATATTCAAGTATTGGTTTGTAGGGATTTGGTTGATTGGTTACAGGATTTCATCATGAGCTGACATTGGTTAGAGAACTATTGGAAAACATGGGAGTACTGAACAGCTGTTTCTTCCCAGTTTGGGACTCTTCATCAGTACGCACCCAGCGGGGTTCGAACTCAGAACCTTCTGGTTACAAGGCGAGCTCGTAGACCATTAAGCCATTGGGACCCGATCCAATAGCGAGCCCATGAATTCTAACTTCTGCCAATTCACGATATAGCGTAACCGCTAGTCAATGTCTTCGGCAAGTATTTGCTCCCACACCCGACCTGCTGCACCCTACTGGTCACGACTTCCCACTAAAACCCCAGGTAACTACCTACCTGAATAGGGCTAGTCGCCAGTGAGCATCTCATTGATATTCAGCTCATGATGAAATCCTGTAACCAAAAAACTCTCAACTGAAAGGCTTCATTTTGAACATGAGAAAGTATACAAAAGTGTGGGGCTTCCGCCAATTTTCGAGGCTATTGTAGTTTTCTGATGATTAAATGAAAAAATATACACATGTACTATAAAGGTAATGTACCTAACGCAATAGAAGGAAGTAGGCAGGTTTTCTTAAAGTTTCGTATGGCGTGGCACAGAGGCCTGTACAGTTACACTCGCTATTGACTATACCTAGGACACTAACAAAAAAGCAACCGTTTCACTGCAGTTTGCTACAGAGAATCATCCCAACAGAACACCTATCACCATTAAGATACTCAAATGGATAACAATTATTTCTGAGAAATGAGTTGAATACAAAAAACTTATTCATGCAAAATTATATCAGAGAAGAAAACAAAAAGAAACCCTGCTTACTTGAACGCGAACAACACGCTGAACATTCTTTCTTTGACGTTCTTCAGCGATAAGATCTGTTGAATTTTCTGTTTCTCTTAATTCATGTAAAACTTTAGCTAGTACAGGATCACTACGCATTTTTGCTTCTAATTGACTACGTTCTTGTGTAGTTTGTGCTTGAGCCAGTAAGATACAATGTAAAATCATGAGACGATGTTTACGCAGAATTTTAACAAAATCAAACTGTTCATAACTCAAAGCACGAACTAGACGATTTTCTAATTCTCTGTCATCTGCAGCTGACTGAAGAATATCCAAACACTCACGAGCTTTAGCCTGAGCAAGTACTGGATCCTATATTATTAAACAAAAAATGAAAATTATAAATATATCTATAATATATATAAATAGAAGGAAGGTAAGTAAGAGGAAGAGAAAACAAATGAAATATGGAAGAAAATGAGTATTCTGATAATTATACAATAATAAAAAGAATACTTCCTTTATTATTCATTTCGCTGTCTAGCAAATGAAACAGCAGCTAATCGATACAACTTTATCAAATGATAGTGCCAAACCACGCCATCTCCGGCGTAGACGCGATATTCGGCTGTCAACCTAAGGACATGTGTACTGCTTAACAGTTTGCTCCGTCCTCCTTTATGGTTGTGGGCCAGACATGACCATTGAAAGTGGAAGATATGAAAAGTCTGGCTAGTTGTCTTTGATCATAGGTGGCGTCATAGGGTGAGCAATACTGAGGCTAGGCGTCGGTTAAGTGCGAGGTAAGGAGGGGAAATCAATCGATGAGGTTGTGGATTTAGATCGTTTGAGATGGTTAGGACATGTGTTACGTATCCCTAGCGATCACCTTCCTCGACGGGAAATGTTAGCTGACATAGAATCAGGTTGGAAAAGAGTCACTGCTGGTCAAACTAAAACATAGTTTCATCAGTCAATGAAATCCACAACAGTTAGTTTAAGCCAGTCACGTAGGAAGGTGTAGACTTTCTGGTTGGGGTCCTCGGCACGGTTAAAACCAATGGCTGGAGACAATCGATGATATGGCTGGTGCAGATGCATTCACTCCTTGTGATTTGTGTCGTATCCAATAAAACTCTATTGTTTTTCCGTATTATTGTTGTTTTTCCCTCAAACTTCTGTTAATTATCTGTCTTTTGAACCACTCTCTGCACTCACTGCTTAATACATACACGAATAAAAATATGCTAAACCAGCAATTCACCTGACACATATAGATTCATTTATCAAGAGCAGTGAGAAATACCATGCATATCTTACTAGACAGAATCATCTTTGAACCCCCTGAATCATTTAGATGAACAAGAAGAAAACCACATAATAGGTCGGCAAACGCCTGATTAGATGAAATGTATTAAAACCCCTACAGCAAGTATGCTCTTATGTAGGTTGATAAATGGAAAAACAAAACCTTAAGTCATATTGATACGGTCCACCAAGTGATTGCTTCTTATAGTCTGATAACTTCGTAAAATTAGGTATATTTTTGCATAAATGCATACTACTCAACATTTGTGATAAACATTCAAAGTAAAAGCTTTTAAAATCAAAAATCAAAGATAAAAAAGATACAACCTGACATTCACTGGCTATAGATTGTTCGAAATCGGAACTTAGCATGTGGATGTTAGGTGAGTTTAACTGCTAACCACATTTTTAATATTGTGTAGTCAACAGTTTCTGGTACAACTGCGTGAATCTTGGTGAGAGTAGCCATATCCAACATGTAAGAATATGAATGTCTATGAAGTAGTAGATACTTGTTGTGTATTATTATTATTGTCCCCTTGGGTTCCCAGTGGGCTTCAACAACACATCTTCACTTCTTTCTATTTTCTACCGTCCTCTTCAGCTAGGTCCACGATTGACCAAAATCTCTCTTCTCCTCCTTGCCACACGATCGCATCCATGTCACCATCACAGTGACAACCCACTCGTTGCATCCCACCGGGATTCTATTCGAGGGCCTCGAGCGCGATGTCATTCCACGGTCTCCTCAATGTATGCCTGATCCATCCCCATTTTCTCCTACATTTTTGTTGAGCGACCGGCTCTTAGTTGGTTTGTTCCCAGAGTTTCTTGTTGCGAATTCCTTTTCGCCATTTGATCTTCAATATGGAACCAGGGAAGGCAGCTGTTGATAAAAGTCTGCAACCTGTTGGAGATCCTTCTCGTTACACGCATTGCACGTTTATGACCCTTATAGAAGGACCGACTTGACACTGGTGTTCCTTATGTTGAGTGCAGAAGATTTCCGAACTGGTTTCAGGTCTACTAAGGCACATCTTGCCTTTCCAATTTTCCCCAGCTTTGACATCATCCATCATCACCCTGTGGTTGGAACCGCGCTTCCTATCCTGATAAGTGAAGGATGCAACCACTGTCAAATCTCTCCCGTTGGTGCTGCCTGTTGCTGCTATTGCCATCGGTTGGTTGGTTATCTTCATCACCTCCGTCCTGTCTTTGCTGCCTGCCTCTTCAGTCAGTTTGTTGGTTTTCGCCTGCAAGTCCTCAAGTTTGTGTGACATTAGACATACACCATCTGCGAAATCCAGATCTTTTAGTCTTCCTGTCAGTCTTACTGTCTCCTCACTCCCAACGCACAGTCTGGCGCATAATACAGTCAGTCCACCACAATTAGGAATATCGTTGGTGATAGTAATGGGCAGTCTTGTCATACTACTGTATTCACCTCGAACGCCTCACTGAGTTTTCCGCTGCGAATCACCTGACAGGTAGCACTGTCATACAGCTGTTGAATGAGGTTGATAAAGACTTGGCCGCAGCATGCCGTAGTGTTGAAGTAGTTTCCAAATTACTTCTCGGTCAACACTGCCTGTCGAAGGCCTTTTCGAAGCTAATAAAGGAAGTTGAGGTAGAGGTTTGACTGCTAGTCTATGCTTTGTTTGATGACGATGCATAGAGTCACAGTTTGATCAACACATGATTTGCCTTTGCTGAATCCAGCTTGTTCCTGATTTGCTGAATTCTGCAACCACTGCATCTTTTATACTCTCCAGGATTACGCGACTTAGCATTTGTTTGGTGTGAACAAGAAAAGTATTCCACGCCAGTTTTTGTAGAAGAATAAGTCGACCTTCTTTGGTAGCTTGACAAGATAGCCTTTCTTCCAGTCGGTAGGCACTTTTCCTTCCCAACCTTCTGCAATAATGGCGTCAGCTTGTTGTGCGCTTAGTTAAATTGCTAAACCTCACTTACACTTTATAATTGTAAGAAGAAAAAAGGCATCACTGTACCATTGTTTCTAAACTATATGTTAGGTTTCTTCTAAGCACTTAATGCATCCATATATATATATATATATATATATATATATATATATATATGTGTATTGTAGATCATCTTAGCCCTTTTGCAATACAAACCGCTTACATCAATACTATAAAGTTACTGACAGTTCTATTTTTATATGGTCAATTGAAACTAACCTTACAATGCTTAGCGAGATTACGCTGCAACCAAAATGCATCAATATCACGAGGATGTAGACTTTCAGTATTTTGATGAGTAGTACTAAGTGATTCATTTTTTCGGGATTGTAGAGTCATCTCTACTGCAGCCTCATCTCCTTCTGGTTCATCATCGTCTTCTTCTTCCTTAATTTCACCAAAAGCATCCTCTTCATCCTATACCAAAAGAAATACATTTTTGAAAATGAAATGTTTAGGTAGCAAAATTGACACGAAAAAAAACGAAACAAATGCATGCAAAACAATGAATCCAGAAGTAGGTGCATTTTTTTCAGCTGACATCCTTCTTGTCTCACATTAAGCAATATTAACTATGACCAATAACCAGACGACCATGCGACTAGCCAGTTATTCTTGTTTAAGTGCCTACCACTCGGGGCTATAGGCAAACATGACAAGCTAAACCTCGATACCATCCGGTATATTTTTGTCTTTGTTCGAAGGACAACTACATTGTATCAGTTCCTGTAGTACTCAAGCAATATCTTTGCATTTCAAAAGTAGGTAATGTTTGAATGCAAGTCACCTGTGATTTAACTATAGCTAAGCTCAGACTGTGCTGTCAGTATTAACTGTGAGGGTTAAGAAATCTGTAGGGAAAATTAAATTCTACCCGAAACACCAGGTGAATTTCAGTCCGCTGGAAGGCTACCCTACATGTGGGTTTATTTAAGAAGTTTGTATCAGTAATTTCCGATGAATCGCACCTACAAGACAATTACACATACATTCAGCTTTCAGTTGAGTATCTTCAATCAATTGTGTTTGATAGACATTTTGTTGATTGCATAAATCGAATATGCAGGCTTAGAGAATGATGTTTTAGATAGCCAACTATAATACGTTAGTAAATAGTTGTGAAGTTGTCTTTCACCTTTCCATACAGAACACAATTTATTCCCAGAAAATTCTCACATTGTGACTACCGTTACATCGATTAGCATACTCCTCTTCCCTAGTTATAAACACACCATAATATATATTCAACTATCAACAGCACCAATGCGTGGAAAGCGGATTTTCCAAAGCTTTTGCAATCATATTTGGTCAAGAGTCCCCAAGTGGTAAAATAGTGTGTAATAGTCACCTGAGCGAAAAAGTATACCCTTTGATGAAATACCGCAAGCGTTTGTGGTGGTCAAACATTGAAAATGGTTTCTATTTATTCAGTGTGCTATTAGCACGAAAACTGGAATCTTTGGGGCAGTCTGAGAAACGCTGTATACGGACTAGCAAACAGACAAACAGAATGCTATGAAAGCTGTTACAAGGAGCAATTCACACTACCCACAATGAATCCTCGGCTCTAACACTGTTTTATGACTGGTTAACATGGACATGGTTTGTTAAATGGGAATTCACAGTGCACGCTAAGTACTGAAGTGCAACGAGACACCTGATTCCTATTGAAAGAAGGACGTGTGACCCATCAATTAGGAATGAAAACATTCCTGTTATCACCTTCAAGAGCGTATTTAATTTAGGACAACTACCGAGCAATGTGTCACCAGTAGAATTCAATAATGGCTAGTTCCACACTTTGTGAATTTCAAAACTCATAAAAGAATTATCCCTGAAGAGCGCAATACGATTATATCAAAGTGGTGGACACTTTGATCGCGTATTTACAGAAGCCAAACAGTGTACGTGGTCGTTGAGTGATGCTCCCTACCTGTAGTCCTGTGAACCTAGCCTCCAAATTTATAAAAAGTTCAGTAACTAGACGTATTTGGCTAACGCTGTTACTTTAGGATTATTTTCACCCAATTCCAATTTAGTGTAAGGCGTTCTCAGGTCCAACATCAAAATTATATTTTAGTAAGTGAAATCACTTCAGAAGGTAGACAATAGCACTCTTTTTGTATGTGGTACTGGCATCATTCTAGCAGCTTTTGAATTGTGACACTGTCGACTAATTTTAAAAAATGGAGAAGTGATAAGATCATTTAATAGCAGTGTTTAGTTAACAACTGTTGCAAGTGGGTGGAATCCAACAGAACATGCAGTCCAGTGTTTTCCAACTTTTTCAGATAATGCCTACAATCGAAGTAATAGCCAAGATGTTATAGCATCTTCGTTTACTTTATCGTCGAAAAGCACACAAAACAACCAAAATTAAATTGAAGATAATTGTGAGGATGCTTTTTCACCATGGCTGACTGGTTTCAACACAGAACCTCGCAAAGAAGTACACCAGTTCGAGTTCCCACACTCGATGTACCACACAAAGGAAGATAAAGGAGAAAAAAGATTCGAAAGAAAGATAAGCAGAAATGTGAGGGAAAAGTGTAACATGGAAAACAATAGCGTTTAATAGATACGGCAGGTCACAAAGGGCGAATGCATCCGCGCCATTGAGATCGATTTTGAGCCATATCACCAATTGTCTCCGGTCATTGGTTCTTAGAGTCCCGATGACCCCAACCAGGAAATCCACATTTCACCCTACATTACTGTGAATTTCTATGAGTCATTTTTAGCGTCCTATGGTGCATCGAATGGTTGACTAAGTTAACTGGATGCTACCGACACCCAGTTGTCCAAGTAAACGGATCGACTTTTGAAGAGCTTGCACACGCCACAAAGAGCTTCCATAATACCTGTCTATTTCAGCACCAAAACACTGGGAGATATTCAGACCCACGATCCCTGTGAGGGAATCATGTGCCAAAAGTAATAACTAATAGGGCTACACATTCAGAATATAAGGCTAAAATGGGAAAAACGAAAATTCTTGTACGCAGATGAAAGAAAAATCTTAAAACATACAGAATCAATTGAGTCCATACCGGAAATACTAGAATTAATTAATATCCAACCAGTTACTGACACAAAAAAATGAAATTATGGAGAGACTAGACACACTGTGTGCCATGTCTTTGCCAACCTGTAAATTATTAGCACTTAGTTACTCAGCTGCGTTCTTACATACGGTTACTCAACAACACTTATTACGGTTTGTCATAGGACTGGTAAGCATACTGGACAAATACCTCTGAAAATCTACACACAAAACAGGAAGCAAATATAAATGGAGGGTTGATAAACAAAAAATGACCATGATTCTTAGTAAAGGAGTGAGTGTAGCTACTTCAATAGGACACTTATCTACAGTGATGCGAAAAGTTACTCGACTGCTTTCGCTAATTCATCGACAACTCTAAGGAAAGTAAACGTATGTATACAAATCATAACAAACATCACTAAGACTATTGATTTCTGTTTCTCGATCTATCAAAACTTGATAAAATTCTGTCTAAGCCCGGGATGACAGTAAATAAACATAACATCTAATGACGTGGATGCTTCATTTTGTCAATGTCACTAAGTACGCTTGGTATAATTACACACAAAACGGTACTTCACGGTCAGGTGTTTTGTGAGACTTGTAGAAGATACTCCTGATAAGATTAGTAAATAATCTCTGTAAAAGAAAATCACCTCAGGAACACTATGAGCCGACACAATAAATGACAGTTTTGAGCGGGTAATTTTATCAACTACCATGAGATTACCAAAGGGGGTAAATAATGCTGTTAATAGTGGTTATGCAACTTTGCATTAAAGACACGTTTTTGCAGCCTGCCGGCCCAAGTTAGTCAGCAAGCAGCACAGTCTACAATTTCTACCTCGATACATGGTTGATTAAGCTTGTAACGTCACAGGAGTACGTGAAATACTGGCACCTGACGGTCAGCTTCAGCCACAGTTTCTGCAACGCGGTGGTTCATAGCCTCGAACATAAAAAAACCTGCTCAGAATACTCAGGCAACAGACGCTTTCCCTTTGGTATATTGTTTGTATTAGATTTATGACTCAAATAAATGCTGTTGCACGGTTTATAATTCGAAATAAGGGAAACTGTGTAGTATTTGTGAAACATACCTCATGGTCAGACTCTTCAAACTGGACATTTACACCATAAGTTTGATCAATACTATCATTGAAATTAGGATTTGTTGAGGATGCAGGTTCTTCCTCTTTCCAGTCTGTAATTTTCTTGCACAAGTTTACAATTATGTTATACCGTTCATCAACAAGAGGACCTAAGCAGTATATAAAGACAAATATCGTTACCCAACAACGACTCTGTTTCTTTTCTTTTTTCCTTATCTTTTAAATGAGTATTCTTGGAAGTAGCTATAACTTCATCTGCTGCACCACACAATATTTCCCGTGACTGATCACCAAGAGCCTCCTGAATGCAATGCAGGATATATTCGTAGGTTTTACGAGTATCAGGTGTCTTCGGGCGGTATATAATGCCTGCTATGTCATCAAAGTCATCATTTAGTAAACTGCCCCCTTTCAATTTTAAAGAGTCCTGTTGCGTTTCATCACGTTTTTGACGCCTGAAAGTCCTATGAGAATATCCGCGACTTACTTTGCTCGTTTTTCCTGTAACATGGGTGGTTTCGTTCTCTGTGATTTGTGTCCCATTTCCTGCACACGGATTTTTCCAGCTAGGCTTAACACTTCACCAGTTGACTCATCTCTAGGACGTCTATCTATCAGTGACCGATCCGTTGAAAGTACTAGGTTAGAGTTGATCTTGTACTCGAACTGCAGCTTTCTAGCCGCATCATCAGCCATGATTCGTTAAAAGGAATGAAATATTCTGCTTCCTGCGCAGCAAAACTTTACTTAACAAATTTGCGTCAGGTCACAAGGTAAGTATCGAACAAGTATCTAACCACGCGGGCTTATATCCAATCTTCAATGTTTTCCACTGAATGACACTGACTTCTCTGCCCTCGCCTCTTTACACAAATAAATAATTATTTTTCGTGTATTCCATAGAGCATATACTGCTTCTTATCTTCTGTAACTCCGTTTAACCTGTGAGAAAAGAGATTTGGTTTGTTTGGACTATGGGAAAATAGTTTGTCGATAGAAATAGTGATTGTTTTCGCCAAAATAAATAAGCAGTTACGGAGAGAACTACTGTTGCCAGTATAAGTAGGAACGGAAATCTAAATATATCAATGACGCCCTCCTAATGTACCTTTTAGCTTCAATGTAACAAATAACACGACCAGTGACTTTCATAGTTTTAAAACTTCTTATGTTCTTAAATATTTAAGATCTGTTAAATCTCCCCAGAGTCTAGGCCCTGATGGTATACCTGCCACTGTCCTAAGTAAATGTGCTGATTGTTTAAGTAACTCACTTACAAACATTTTCAATACTTCTTTTTCTAATAATGTTGTACCTTCTCTATGGAAAGATAGTAAAATCATCCCTGTACCCAAGTCAGGTTCTGGTTATTATGTTAAGTTTAGACCCATCGCTATTACCTCTCCTTTTTTGAAACTAATAGATAAATTATTGTTGCTAAAACTTGTTCCCTCCCTAAGCTTCTCAAACGATCCAAAGCAGTTTGCTTACAAACAGGGTAGAAGTACTTTAGACGCTGCTGCTATGTTTCATCACAACATTGTATGCTCCTTAGAAATATGGGCCAAGTATGTCCGTTGTACGTTCCTTAATTATACATCTGCTTTCGACCCCGTGCCTAGAGGCCTATTGTTAAACAAGCTTAGCCTTACACAAACTGAAACCTGGGCTATCAACTGGCTACACTCTTACTTCTATAACAGGATGGAGTAAACGGAATTTAATGGTGTATCTTCCTCTCCTTTGCTTACTGAAGCTGGAGTTCCTCAGGGTGCTGTTCTCTCTCCGTTTCTCTTTTCCTTCTTCTTACATGATTTACCTCTTTCAGATGAAATCAACTTAGTCAAATATGCAGATGACCTGTCTGTATCGTTTCCCATTAAGTCTCAGTCAGACTGTTTCAAATTAAATGGCTTCCTGTCGGACATCAGTCAGTGGTCTAAACTAAATGGTCTCATGTTCAATCCCTCAAAATGCCAGACTATTGACTTCTCCCTAAGGCACAAACGAGATCTACAAACACTAGTAAGTACTCATGAAGCCTGTTGCATTGAGAGGACTAAAATTGAAACATAGTCTAATGCTGAATACCTCGGTCTAGTTCTATCTTCCGACCTTACTTCGACATCTCATATTCTAACGATTTCTAAGAAAGTGTTCCGTCTAACCTACTACATTGAGAAACTAAGACAATCTGAAATCACCCAACTCCTACTTTCACAATTTGTCAACTCTTGTATCTTACCTATTCTACTTTACTGCTCCCCGTTAGTCTTTCCTGGTCTACTGAAAAAGGACTATACCATTTTGAGAAGGATGCTGAAAGCAGTTAGTAGGACTAGTGGTGTAAAACTCAGTCAGCTCGTCACTACATTAGTTGAAAGACATCTGAATACATGCGGAAAATGGTCTAAAACCATACTCCCCGACCCCCAACATCCCCTCTATTCCCAATTCCCGCCTTGTATCTCATCAAGTAAAACCAGAAACCAGTATAAAATAATCTGTGATCGTACAACCAAGTACAGGAACTCAACAATACCATACTTGGCCCGTGTTCTAAGCGACAATGTTAAGCGTGAAACCTATGACTTGCTTTGTTATTTATAACATAATTTTAGGCTCTTTTATTTCTCTTTTATTCTGTATTCTATAGTGAACTCCTTCTTAAACATACTTAGCTACCTAAATTATTAACATTGGCTTACTTTTGTACTTTACTGTACTCCTTCTTTTGTGTATCTACTGGTTCTGACTATATTAGCACTATGAGTATTACAAAATTGTCATTAGCCATCATAGAATTATTAGTTTTTGTGGTTGTCGTTGTTTTTGTTCGGCGATATTAACTGACAATCTGGGTTGTGATAACCATTGTCACCACCTTAAAAAATTTGTATTATGCAGGATTACTCACACTACCACTACAAACACCGCATTACACCTGAAAAAACAACCCTGAAATGTTGTTTTATGATTGTTTAGTGTTGTTTCAACCAAATTAACTGATCACCTTGGTGACAAACATTCTTAAATATCATTCCATAACTTCTTGTATGACTACAGCTTTACTGTCACCATGCATAATCATATCATAGCTTCCACTACCCAATACTGAGATATTATTTTATGTCGTTTATTTTCCTTGCTACTTCTTGGCATTTTTTCGCATTTTTAATTATTTTTGTGTGTTTTTGTCGTTGATTTTATATTTATTTTTTGAAATACTCTTTTTAAGTGTTTAATAAAATTAGATTCAAATATTGCAGATATGTGCTGAAAATTCAAAACTGTACCACTAGCACTTTTTCTGGAATAAACCAAATGATTACTATTATTAAAATTAAAACGAAAATTAAAAGTAAAGCCGTGATTAAAAATTATAGTTAGTTGATTTTCTCTCTTTGTTAAATGAATCGACAAAATTTCTTCGTAACCTTATTCTGATGACAAATACCACTTGAAACACTGATACCGTTTTCCATTGAGCTTCCTAATAATGTCGGAAGATTGCCGGGCATTTCAGGTCTTTATTCGTTGGAAGCCTCTAGACAACGAATCAAGCAAAATGTCCAGACAGACAAAGTATATAAAATGTAAGTGTTTAGAAATGTCGTCATTTAGGCCAGGGCAGATTGGAGTAATGATATCATGTGGCTCCATGTGGTACTTAATGTGGGTTTCACGCAGGCTAAGAAACATCTGATACATAAGTGCAGTAGGCCCTCAGTGTATGAATTACGGAGCAGGAAGTATTCACACTATCCCTCCCAAATACAGTCGTCAATACCCTAATAATAATAAAAGGAAATACAAATACGATGAAATTTAAAAGACTGATTAGTGAACCTGCGAACTGAAACGGTCTATTTGTAACGAGTGAAGACGTATTTAGAGCTGTGATCTGCGACACATCACATAGGTAAAAACAATTCACATGGTATAATCCTAGTCACCACAGTGATGATACACTCTCAGTTTCCCATACCTTCCTGAATAATCCAGTTAGAGCCGTTGTGAGAGTCTCACCACCATCTTTAAAAGGAGCCGGAGGTCAGTTGTCTGGGCCGGGCGCCTTATGGCGTTTTAACACTTGGAGTTCCTTATGGACCTTTGCTTCAGTCTGCGGGTCGGTTTTAACTGTCCAAGTAGCACTGGGGCTAATGACGGCAGACATTGAAGCTGGTGGCCAGCTAAAATATTTCCTAAGATGCTCTGCCCAGCGTTCCATGCGTCTTTTCAAGCTGGTAATAGGCGTGCCATCTGTCTCACAGACCGTCTCGCTGACACCTTATTTCTTGCTGCCGGTGGCTCGGATGAGTTGGAACAGCTTCCGACTGTTGTCAGGTGCAGCAGCTGACTCCATCTCACACTCACATTCTGACCACCAGGCTTCGCGGTCCTTACGTAAACACTGTCTTATCTTGCGCGTCAGCGCCTTTCGCTTGTTGTTGTATTCGCTGCCAGCCGGAATGGATGGGCGTTCATTCAGGAGTTGCTAGGAACTCGCAGAAACCCAGTGGTTTTTGGCGGAGCATTCTTTCAAGCCGCAAGCGGCTACACTCGTTCTTTGCATGGCACCTTGCAGATGAATCCAATGTTCATCTATACTATTTAGGGGTTTGCTGGCAAGCATTGACTGTAACTCATTTTGATATTTCAAGTAAGTAGCAGGTGCTACTAGTTTGCTCACATCAACGTTTAGACGACGCCTTTTATGAACCCCACCAAGTCGCAAGACGAACCTGGCACACACTAACCCTTGATCGGAGTCTAGGCATGTGCTCCAGATGCAGCAACAGTCTTGTATGCAGCCTCGCCACCGGAAACTGACAGCAATGTGATCAATCTGAGTCCAAGCTTGATTTGCAGAAGGAGGACGCCAGGTAGCGCTACGGCGATGTTTGTGCCGGAAGTTGGTGCTGGCTAGAAATAGGTTGTGATTCGCGCAAAACTGCAGAAGACGGTCCCCATTATCTGACCTGCGACCATGTAGACTCTATTGACCACCTAGACGATTCTCCTCTGAGCTTAGACGCCCGACCTGTGCATTCAAGTCCCCAGCCAGCACTACGATATCCCTCCGACCCGCCTGTCTCAAGAGATCGCTCAGTTGGTAGTAAAACTCATCCTTCATTGCATCGGGGCTGCAATCCGTCGGTGCATAGGCAGAGACAACAAATAGACACCGCCTATCTGGCCTACTACTCCTTACTTTCGTATGACCTTCCAGCCTCACAGCACATAAACGACTGTTAATGGGAATCCAGTCGAGCAGTGCAGCTTCGGCTCTAGCGCTCAGTGCGACACCGACACCAGCTACGCCTGATGCCGATGCCACAGGGGCCCCGGATAAGCGCAGGTGGTACATACTACTAGAACTTCCAGATGGAGAGAATGATTGAAGCACTTCACTGGGATCTTGAATGTGGGTCTCCGAAATGCAGCAGACATTGATAGCGAGGCTTTCCAATGTTCTTACCAACCCTGCCTGTTGTCCGATTTGCATCAGCGTCCGAACATTTCAGGTAGCCAGCTTGAACACAGCACGCGGTTTCATGGTATCTGTGTTAGATGTCGCATTGGGGACAACCATTTTGAAGGTCACTCACTAACATCTCGAAACGACACAGGTAGGCTAGGAATCTAGACAAAGGTGAAAGGTTGTCGAGGGTTAAGAAGTCAAGGTGAGCAAAGGTAAAATACAGGAATCTAAGTATAAAAGTAAAAGTAAGTTTGGAAGGACATAAGTTGCTTGAGGTATGATTATTTCTTGAAATCATTTTTACGAGCGCGTGGTGAGTATAAA